GCATTTGTCTGAATACCAATTCGCAATTGTTAAAACTGATTACTACTGAAGTTGATTTTTTGAATGGCTAATGAGATTTCTCAAAAAACCTTATCCTCAACTCGTTTTGAGCTAAAAACCCATTATTTCTATTTCAATCGTTCAAGCCACTAAAAACGAATATCTATTTTCTCTAGATAATTGTTGAAACCAATTTTGTTGGCTTGTTGCTGTATAGTTGAATCTCTAAGCTGGATCAATCTATAGAAAAGTAAAAAGAGAGATACACAAACCATTAGAATAGAGTGAAGTTCAAGGGTTACTGTATCCAGTTTGCTGCCTATTTCATGCATTTTTATACAGTACAAATGTGTACAACAAATACAGCTCTCTATGGAAATTACTTGGTTTATTGCCTAGAGAAGATTGCAAGCAATTTCCACGTTCTACTGCTTCCAGTCTTCCTAGATCTACTTGAGACCATTTTGCGAGATTCTCAGTTCACGATTCGATCTGGGTCTTCATTAGGCTTACCAACGAATTACAAGTTAAAATAGTAACAAGAAAGATAAAGACAATCAAAGTTTAAGCAAAGTTAGTAACTAGTTTTCCGACTATTGTTGTGCATAGCTTAATCTTTGGGAGTAATGCACCAGCTTAGTCTTTCAGAGATGATAGAAAAGAGGCAAGGGAAAGGCGGTGAAAGGGAGAGATCGGCCACGCCTCAACCCTTCCCTTTCCTTATGTTCCTCTTAAAGACTCAAAACAGGGCAAAAAATGTGGCTGTTTGGTTGTTCTCGACTCAGAACTTTTCACCCTTTTCACTCTCTCTTACAAGGACATCTCTTTTTTGGTGATTTTGAATTCATCTTACTCACAAAATGGTTACTCACAGAGATCGCTATCTCCTGTTTACTATATCGTTGAAAAGGAGATTCTTTTCAATGAATTGAAAAAGTTTTTGGGTTTAAGTTGAACTCGATATCGTTTTATGCTCAGAAATGGAAACTCACAGGTCCTGGTGCACTAATTTCTCTTCAACTGGCTTCTTACTAGCTGGCTTAGATCATTCGAAGTCAAATCTGCCAGAAATTGTGTGTTTGGATCTGTTTCCATTTTCAAAATTCTAGTTTGTGCTCAAATTGAACTAAATTTAGCTTTATTTGATCGATTTTAGCTAAGCTTTCCCATTCTACCATCACATTTTTAAGAGATATTGAAAACTCCATGCACCAAAAAGAGTACTTCGAAAGTATAAAGCACATCTTTTCATAGTTCTAGTTCTTTTTTTACTCAATTTCCCCTTTTTCCTTGTTTTTCTCAGAATCCCCATTGAAATCAAGGTTGAATGCAAATTAGGGAAGAATAAAAAGGAGAGACTTTATGTGGTCAATTTCAACAAAACTCTGTCTCAAACACTGACGTTTCGATTCATTGACTAGGATTTTAATGGTTTTCCTTGAATCTTTTAGTATCAAATCTGACTTTTCAACACTTCTATGGGTTTAATTTATTATTTCTGTTCTAAGATTTCGTCTTTTACAGATTTTGGTAGACTAGCTAAAACAAGCTCCAGCTATCGTAATTCGACTTGGCTCTCCTTTGATAATAGATCTTTATGGATCTTTGATAATAGAAAATAGAACCATTCTTTATTGATAATAGATCTTTATGGTTAAGTTGCTCTTACAGTAATCTTTTCCGATTAGAAAACTAGTTGGATTACTGTAGCTGAGTCATCTTTATGAAGATCTTTATAAAGATTCCTTTCCAGACGTTATAGAAGATTTTATGACTCCAGAAAGTTCCGGGATTCGTTCAAAGGATATAAAATGCATAAACATCTTCTTTTTCTTCTCAAAACCAGTGTTTGCTAGTGAATCAAACCGTTTTTTGCGCCTCGTTTCCATTCAACCACAAAAAGTGCCGTCAAAGCCACACAAATGTAGGGCAACACATAAAATCTCTCGCGAATTGCCCCATCATGATCATAATGTTACTCAAAACTTTTTGGTGACTGACTGACTGCTTGAGAAACCAATGATTTGAGGTTAAAACTTGCAGAAAAACTCGATTTTCGGCTTTCTTATGTTCAGAAACTATGAAATCTTACAAAATCCCAGTTCTTTTGCCACAATCTTGTTAAAATTCATTTGAAACTTCCCTAATTCCTTGTCGACATTAACAATTGCCTATTTTTACACATCTTTGCTGAAATTTGAGCTCATCTTATGCAAGAAATGTCCCAAAAAATTGGGGTCATACAGTAATTTGATCCTTTTTTTTCTTTATCCTTTCTTTACTCGATCCAAATCGCGCATCTGTCAGCAAGAATTTTTGAGAGAACAAATGACAAATCGAGTCTCAAATTGAGGGGAATCGTTTTGAAAATTTCGACACAGATGATGGAAAATTTTTTAAAAGGTATTTGAGAAAGAAATTTCAGTTAAAATTTGACAAAAGTTGCTAAATCGGGTCAAAAATATTTCGATTTTCGATAAGTGACGAATTTTGATGCTAATTTTAACTTTTCCAATATCGATTCGAGCTATTGAGTTACCGTAAATCAGTAGCTGTTACAACTCTCCTCATCAGCATCATAATCTTTTAGAAAAGTTCTGAAACTGACTAGGGAACTGCTCAAACTTGCATCGATTTGGGAAATGGGACCTAGCGCAGAATCTAGGATAGAGTCATCTCTTGCTATTTCTAGGAGCCCTTTTTAGCTTACTACTGTTTATTGACACTTTAAAAGTTGGTTTTTGTGCTCTAGCAAAACAAAACTTTGTCAGTGAGGAGATTCGAACCAGAGACAGTTGGTCGGTGAGCGGGCGAGGGGGCGAGCACCCTATCCGCTACACCATTCGGTCGCTTTTCTGTAGAAGTAATTCGGCGCCATACTGCGGAGGCGCCGTTTTTCCAAGAAGTGCCCAAACATGAAAAGGATTTTTCTCGAAAACTGAATGCTATAGAGTAAAACTGAAAAACACGTATCCCTTAGAATTTCATGGTGGCGTTTCTGCACTAGGTCTCACTATCCCAAATCAATGCTAAGTTTAAGCAGTTCCCTAGTGAGCACACACCTTGTTCCCTAAAACCAACAAATGATAAGTTTGTAAGCTCAAATTATAGTCTCTTCAGACCTGAAGCTTTAAAAATATCAACTTTTGTAAGTTCCAAAGCTGTGAGTCCCATAAAGTGTCCCGCCCCCCTTTTCCCTCAAGTACCACCCTTCATTACAGTATTGGATGCGCAACAATCCTTCTTCTTCCTCCTCCCATCCTCCTTTCCCTCTTCAAAAACATATGCCTACCATTCTTTTCTTAAGTCCAGTTCCATTCACTTGAGGACATCCGTTTTGAATCTTTTCTTTGAATCGCCTATTCATTGTTTTTCGCAGAGATACTTAAGTGGATCTCGGGTCAATTGGATTTTCGCGTTTTCGATGGGCACATTGATTTTTGGTGGTTTTATCAATTGTAATTAAACCTTGCTTTATTACCTTTCTCACAAGAAGAAAATATTTGTTCTTATTCTAGAAAGTTATTCTAAACCAACCCTGAAATCTCATAGTTAAACCTAAAGAGTAGCAAACTATTTGTTTTCAATTTAAAGTCAAATGTTTCTCTTTAAATTCAAATCTTTATGAATCTCACCTATCCAATCGATCCAATAACCAATGTTTCCAAATATTTTGACTGAAATATCCATAAAGATGAGCAGAGAGCTTGAATTTGGACTTTATATTCAAATTTTTGAATCAAACATTGCCTCAAGTAGCTTTGTATCTAATTCTTTCTCAATCAGGGCTACAAGATTGTAGAAATTACTGCCGAAAAATTTAATAGAATGAAACAGCTTTGAGTTTTTTTAAAAAACAGTAGATAACCTAGATCTCTTGTGGGTAATTGATTGGATTTCTTTTATTCAGTAATCTTTTTCGCCATTAATTTCTGTTTCTTAGGGTGTTACTACCTCTGTGTATTAAAAAAGCTATTATATTATTATTAAACTATTATAAACTTTAAGTATTATATATAAACACTTCAAGGATTTTAACCATTTTGTAATTGTCCCATTTCATCAACCGAATTATCAATGTTTTCAAAATGTTTCCCTTGCTCGAAGCAATTTCTTCTTTTTCAAGTGTGCCCTTTCCATAAACTTCCGTCTAAATTGTGACCTTAGGTAAAAAAGGGAAATTTTCCTTTTCTCTTATCCAATCGGTTAACACCTTTGATTAGTGAGCTAATTCACAGATCTCAGTAAATTGTCCTAAAAAATGGGAAAACAGAGGAACACCTGCAATCCCAATGGCAATTCTAGGCAAAGTGATCACAGACAATGACCATTTTGTCTTGTATTCACCGCTGATTTTATCTTCTTTACGTTTTGCTTTGTTTTTTTTTGGAAGTGGGAAAGATTGATCGGTGATAAAGGATTAGTTTTCACTGGCAACATTATAATTCCATTTCGGAATTGATGTACTTTGTGCCCAACTATAAGCAGAATGCTATCTAGAAAGTGTCTTCAAAGAAAAGTCAAGAATTGAATATCTGCATTTAAGGGTTTAATGCGGAAAAAAGTACGCACAAAGACAACCAACCCAAGAAGTTTAAAAATTGGACAAAAAGACTTTTTATAGGATTTCAAATCCTACAAAAAGTTAACTCAATTTTTTCTCAAAAAGCTCAACTTTCTCCAATTCCCATTACTCAAATCCTTCCAATGTTTCGGGTGAATTGAGCGTAAAATTTTAAGATCGCCTTTTTATGATCCATTCTTTTCATCAAAAGATTGACCGCTCGGTCGTTTTCCTTACAAATCCATGTTAATTCCCCGGAAATGTCCCCGATTGACCTTTCGCCATTCAAATTAACACAAAGAAAGTCTTTGCTTTGTGATCTTAATGAAAACAGAAGATTCATCTGCATAGTCGGATTATTTATTGCTCATTTTTGGCTTTTTGAACTCTTTGTCTTGAAAATTTCTCGAATTTTAGGCCTTTTCTCTCAAAAGAAATGCCTCCAGTGATGATAGAGCCGATCTCGCCGAAATCTGGGCGACTCGTTTCGTTTCTTTTCGAGGGTGATGAAACAGTCTCTTGTGAGGTGAGGAAACTCTTTGAGATTGAAAACTTCTGACTCAAACATTTACTATATGTAGGTTACGTCCGATCTAGACTGATTCTAGATGGGAGGTCCGATCTAGAGTGAAGTGAGATCAAACGTTCGATCTAGAATCAAGCCGATCACTTTAAATCTAAGTCTGGATCAGACGTCTGATTTAGAGTGATCGGCTTGATTCTAGATCGACCGTTTGGCCACACTTCACTTCTAGATCGGACGTAACATATAAAAGAGCAGTGTCTGTCTGTCTGTGTGGGCATTTTCTCGGCCGTGTTTTGACCAATAGAACTAAAACTTCTTTAGAAAACCTTAGAATATATTGTAGTTGCGCCACTTAAAATAAAAAAATTAGAAAGTCAAAATTGAGTGGCACTACAGGGGGTCGAACCCGGATCGTGTGGGCCGTGCCGTAGACAAGCGCGCTCCTGACTGCGTCACAGTGACAAAAACTAAACCCACCGTTAAGTGGGTTTTTCGGCTGATCAATGATGAAAATAGCGAAAGTTTGCATACGAAAATTAGCAATCGAGGTATTTTTGCAATTGCTTTTTGTTTAGTTGTGTAGAGTTTTTCAACAGAAAATCTATTATATATAAAGAGCGGTGTTTGTCGGTTTGTCCGTTTGTCTTTGGACGAAAAAACTGAAATTGTTTAAATTGAAATTGTTTAAAAATACTTAAAATGTAAATTCCATTTAAAATAAAAAATTAAGAAAATCAAAATTGAGTGGCACTACGGGGAATCGGAGACAGTCGTAGACAACGCGGTCGTAGATAACTAGCTACGCTACGGCGGCTATGAGTCAGGGGACAACATCAAGCCAGAAAAACCCGCTGTTAGGCTGGTATTAGACTTCTACAAGATTGTCATTTTAACTGTAATGCTGTAGAAGTCGGAGTTGGTTTGACAGTTAGACTTGTGCTAACAGTTAACAGGCTTATCATAGCTTTAACGAGGCCAGGCACCATTAAAAATGTTCAAAAATAGAAAGCAATGATAGCATTTCCAGGTGTGTCTCGAGCCCTTTCAACCCACGCAACGTCCACCAAAAATCCTGCCTTGTGGGCACAACTTTTGCTCTCAATGTCTCTTCAGCTTGTGCTGTCATCAAGAAGTGGGTTATATTTTAAAAGCAAGCAAATACTCTTGTTTCAAAGTAACAAAATGGTTCTAGTAGGCAAGTCACCCACAAGGGGACCATATACTTCCCAATTTACGCAAGAAGAATGGGTGCAATAAAGTAGCGATTATGCAAATTTTGGGCCAAATTTGTTCTTTAACAGAAAAGAGTGGAGAATTTGGAGCCTAGTTTAGAGAATTTTCAAAAATTTGACCTAATTCCAGTACTATTTATTGGACTCGATCAATTGCCCGACGTGTCGCCGACAATTTTCGACGAACACTGCAAAACATGCGCCAACAAACTATGATTTATGCAGTGAGTGATTTGAGATTTGACATTATTCACGTAAATGGATTCCTTAATTTGTAAGCTTTCAGAAATTCTCGAAAATGTGCAAAAGGGTCGCGAGTTGAACAACATTACCGTAATCCATGTGAGTGGGTTCGAAGAGAAATTGGAGGCAGGGAATGGAGAGAAAAAGAAATGGAAAAGTTCGGAGATCGATCGGGAGAGGAAACACGCAAAAGAGGTGAGTGACTGTAGCTAGGCTAGATGAGCTTTGATATTACTGTAGCCTGGCTGATTTTAGAGCTGGTGTTATTGTAGCTTGGACTTAGTGCGAAGGCTAGCGCCTCGCATTAAGTCTATTTGGGTTTGGGCTCAACCCCCATTTTCTGGATCTCAACCAGTTCCCGGGGCTAAGGCACACCCGCTTGGCGATGCTCATTAGAACCCTAGGGAAGTTTAGACTTAGGCTTAGACTTAGGTTCAGGCTCTATTTTAGAGCTGTGCTTTGAGTTTACTGTGTTCTTTAGGTCAACTATATTTTGGGTTACTGTAGCTTGGTACTTCCTTTTGATAGTTTGGCTAAGTTTAAGTTACTGTAGTTGTATCATTTAGATATAAAGTATATAAAATATAAAGGTATATAATGTAGAAAGCTTTTTAAAATCTAATAAAAGTATGATTTGGGATTACTATAACCTATATGCAAACTAATTTCAGTTAACTCTTGGCGACGAAATGCGCAAGCTGTCCGGGAGTAAACGGGAGAAAATCGCGATTAAAAGGTAAATTTTAAAAATTTTTTAGGAAATTATCTGAATTTAAGATTAAAAGTGAACTAAGATCAAAATTTAGATGTCTCGATTGCAAACGAAAAGTCACCACAAAGAATCTGGCCAAGTTGGCAAGGCATTGCGAGGAATGCTCGGCGAACACGAGTAGTGTGGTGAGTCTTTGATCTAAATCTTTTAAAAATTCGATATTTAGAACTTTTCCTGTTTGGAGTGTTGTGTGAATTTGCACAACGGTCATCGTTTGTACTCGATTCAGCAAATGTGCGCGATAAAGATTCAGGTGGGTCGAGTGAAGAGTGGCTACTGTAAAATCATCATAAAGTCGTGTACAAATCGTTTCCCGTTCCGCTCGTTATTGTCGCTCCAGTTTACTGTAGCTCACTTAATCGGTTACTGTAGCCTATTGTGCTGAGGTGCAAATGTAGTTGGTATCATTTGGAATTACTTTACTGTAGCTTGGCTAACTTTGAAGCTTGATTGGTGCTTTGATTGATTTATGCTTGATTGATGCTTGAAGAAATTGAGCTATCCATGAGAAGAATCCAATCCAAATTTGGCTTATAGCCTTTCTCATGGCAAGTTAAGGTACTGGATAGCTTAGTGGTTAGAGCAATTGCTCGGAAAGGAAAAGGTCTAGGGTTCAATCCCCTCTCCGGTTCAATCCCTTCAATCCCCTACTTTTTCTTGACAATTGCTTCACTTCTTTATTAACCAAGTTCCGGTTAGCCTTACTTTTTCAGGTTCTATCTGAAGTGCGCGAGATTCGAAATAAAACGCTGGACGCCGGGGAGCAATTCGAGCGTCGTTTCGCCGAGTTGAGGGCAGCCGGTGCGCCGATTGATTGCCCACAATTAGTGGCAGCTAAACAGGTGAGCGGTGAAGAGAAATGAGATATGGGATAGAGGATTAAGAGATTAAAAATAAAGGAATTGAGAGATCGAGGCTCATTGCTGCATAATATTGACTGTAAATAAGATTCAAACTGTTTTTCGAGCAGGTTAAAGTTGAAAAAAATAAAAACTTTGAAATCTACAAGTCTAACGCTTCTAGAACTGCATGAATGAAGCCCTCTCTAATATCGATGCAACGATTCGCCGTTTGGAGGCAAAGAAGCTGCTCCCGGCGGCGATGCTGAAAGTGATCAGGTAGAAAAAACAGCTGAAATTGCTTCAAAGTAGTAGTTGTTTGTATTGTCATATTTGTATAGTTTTGCAGTTCATAATCAGGGAATTTCAGAGAATCTCAATATGCTCACTACACCCGTGTCTCTCAAATAAATGCTCGGTTGGAGAAAAGCGTCGTTTTGCCTCAACCAGAAACTCCAGTTGATGCAAAGAAAGGATTGGGAAGTGAGTGGATTTGAACTCATTTTCAATAGTTAGATTCCTCTTGACGTGCGGTTTTAAGGGACTGGAGCGGCGCGCTTTCTAAAGCGTGGATACGCTACCGTACCGCGCACAAAAAATTCCCTTTACCATTCTTTTCATTTTCTTTCATTTCGTGATGGAAATCGAATCGGAAACTTTGTCCAACTCTTATGCCACGTCCCGCCAAGTTTTCTTCTCCCTTCGTAAAATCTATTATGTTTTTGTAGCGCGTTTTTAAAGTACTCTCTCCCCTCGTTCGTTCCCTCCTTTTATTGTTTGCCCATAGTTTGTTGTTTAAAATTCTAATACGGTTTTATTTCATTTTCTTTCCGACTCTTTCCACTTCATTGTTTTGGATCCGTTCACACATGCCTTTTAAACTCAACTTAACCAATTCCTTTTAACTAAAACGCAAATCTAAATATTCTGCCACCGCGCGAGCTTCTTGCTACTTCGTCTTGGGTTTCGTGTCAAATCATTTCCTCTAAGGGTTTTTCTAAGAGTTTAAAAGTATTAGTTACTAACCGTATGACTGTCCAGTTACTGAAAAAGACACTAGTTTTTTAAAAGCACTTTTGTTATTTTCTGAGCCGATTTAATTACCCAAATATGACCATTTTTCAGGACAACCCTCATTCCTCTCAACCTCAGCCTCATCATCGCGCCTTCGACAACAAAAATTGACAGTGAGAGGTGATGATTCTCTTGCGAGAGAAGCTCTTCACACGATCACTCATGTTCTACCACAAACGAATGAAAAGGCTGCACAGTTGGCTGAGGTTTGCTGCAATTTAGAGGCACAATTGCACTTTTATATCCGAAATTTAGACAGTGATGCGCTTCTCACCGCGAGACACCGTCGAACAGAGGAAACAACTCTATCTCAACGCCACCACTCTTCTCACTCAGATTTTATACGAGTAAGTGAAATTTTCATGTAGAATCATCATAATTTGGGTGGTTAAACTAAGTACTCAAGCTGCTTTAGTGATTTCAACTTGCCGACCCTTGAAATGTTCAAAGATGTCTTCTTGAATTGCTTTTATCAATTGCATGTTTTGAGGTGAGTCTTTAAAAGGTTTAAAAATCAAATATAGCCAAATCTTATTATATTGTTCTTGAACTTTAAAGAAAGCATTCTTTCAGCCGCAAGAAAAACGATTTCGGTAGCGAGAAGAAAATCACAAGAAAGGAGATCTGGAAGGGGGTTCAATTCGCGTACAACGAGTTACTGAAAATTGCGTCAAAGGTTCGAGATTGGTTCTAAACAGAATTTATAGTCTAAAAGTTGTATCTGACTTTGCAAATCTCATTCAACTTTATTCAAAGCTCTTCAGAAATTCGCGGCCGCTCACCCGGAGCGCATCGACGTGATCGACGATCTCGCCTATTTGTGCCATTTGTTCGCCGACGTTTGTGATCAGGTATTTATTTTGTGTTAATATTAGGCTCTCTAGAAAGTCTTTTCGTTCCTTTTCGTGCTTTCGTTTAAAACCAACAAATGCACTAATTGAACTATTTGCTTCATTAGAAAGGCCAATTATTTTTCTGCAAAATAACATTAAAACGGGTTTAAAATATTTTATGTCTGAAGTTTTTTGGTAACGTGAAGTCGGGTAGTCAAAAAGGCCGACGGTTCGATGATGCGGTTTAGACACTTTAGCAAAGGAAACCTATTTTATTGCCAATATTTAAAAGATAGAGCACAAAAAGCTTGGTATATAACCAAATTTTCAACAAATTCATTCAGCCAATTTCTTCGTAGAGGTTTTTATAGATTTTTACGAAAAGCACGTGGTTTCACTCTCGAATTTGCTTGAAATTGAACCCAAATTGCCTTAAAAAGATGGAAATTGACAAAGAAACACTTTTTATTTAGAGTAAACCATAAATCAATTGGTGCATTTGTTATTTTGTTATTTTTGTTATTCAACGGAAGTACGAAAAGGAACGAAAAGACTTTTTGGGCAGCCTAATAGCAAATAATATGCAGCCATAATCAAGAGTAGCAAGCTTTTTTCAAAACAATCGATATCGAAACGAATAATAGGCTAATAGTAAGCCTTGTTTCCGATCTAAAATGACTTATACATTGATTTTTTAAGCAAAATACACATAAAACATAAAAACATCAAGTAATTATCATATTTTCAGGGCACTGTCACAATTTGCATGATCGAAGCGGCAAGAGCTCGGGCATCGGACAGTCTCTTGGACGTGAGTCAACGAGAACTCGCTCAGCAAAGATTGCAGGTTAGTTGTAGGGTTGTGGATCAAAAAATCTTGACAATTCTTTCGATTCAGCAGTTAGCTCATAGTTATAGCAAAATATATCTCAAACTTATGTACGTTTCCATGCGTAAGGTGGCTAACGGTTAGGTTAGCAAGTATCAGCGAGTTTGATCGACTTTAGATGCTAGAAAAGCTCCAAACTCAAGTAAAAGGCTAAAGCTGTATGTTTATCTTAAAACTTTAGCAAATCGACGACCATCTCCTCGATTGTCGACGTGTTCAAAAGCTTCATCAACTCCGCTCGAACACTGAGAAGCGAAAAGGGCTGAAATCGTTTTTTGCCTGCCTTCGCCCATCAACAAGTCCATGAAAAGAATTGTCATCAAAATATGTGCATCTTAGGGTTTTCCGTCATTTTGTGATCGATGTGTTAGATGGATAAAGTGTTAGGCTTTTAAAAAAACTGTTCAGAGCTTCAAGTATTCTAAAAAAGGAAAATAAAACTATTAATTCGACCAAAAAGGGTCAGATCGGATTATAAATACGCGCTTTCAAATCACATCGATTCATAGAGATTCCCACTAAACACGCAGAGAACATCACGCCCAACCTGAATTCGAAAAGAATATCTTTTATTGACCCCCTCCATGGCCGTGTTCCAAAAAGTGAGCGATTGTGTGGGCGCACAAAGTACATTTTGAGCTTTTTGTTTGTACAAAGTATATCTCATACTAATTGCCATAGGAAAATATTACAATAGCTGGGTCCAAAAGATGGAATTATACTTTAGAATCTTAAAGTAGATGCCTTTTTCTCTTTATGATTTAATTTAAGCCACAGAAGTATTTAAAAAGCTTATGTTTTTAAAGCAATACAAAAGAACTGCTTTTAGATACTAAAGATTACGGTATTCAAGCATACCGAAGATGTCTTTAAAGGAAAATGTACCAGTTTTGATGATCAAAATACATAGAAATCTTTATTAGTCATAAATTTTGCAATTCAAACGTGAAAAGACTTGCTCTGACTTTTTACAGCCCTGACTCATCCGTCAGAAGCAAATTCGAATCAGAATCGATCATGCGATAAGGCGGAAAAGTCAGGAAAAACTGAGGATTTGTCATTCTTAGCTTATCACCATCTAGACATGGTGATTTTTCGAGAGAAAACCGCTTTCTTTTTCGAATTTCCGGGCGGTGGGTTGAAATTGATAAGTGGATTGATATAAAAGGGCAAAAGTGAAGAGCACAAAAAGTTCAGAAGCGATTGGTTTCAGAGATTTGATTTTAAGCTTTAATAACTTTTTTATCTGACTGTTTACTTTCAGCTTTGCTAGGATGAGATCATTTTTGTGCTGTTCTTTGCTCGTTTTGTTCTCTTTGACTCAAGCGGATCGATGTCCGGCCGGTTCAATCGATTATGGTGATGGAGCTGAATGCGTTCTGCCAATCAATTCTAGTGAGTATACACACTTAGCAAGCATTTGGCTGTACTATAAAGTGCTAGTTTACTTATAGTTAGTTTTGTACTGTAAAATACTGAACTACTGTAATATTCGGCTGTTCAGAAAGTTTCTTTTCGTACTTTCTTTTCAAAAATTACAAATTCACCAATTAACCTATGGTTTTCTCTAAATAAAAAGTGTTTCTTGTTCAATTTCTCATCTTTTTAAGTCAATTTCGGTTCACTTTCAAGCAAATTCGACGTGTTCTTCGTAAAATTCAAGCAAATTCAACGTGTTTTTCGTAAAAATCTTTAAAAACCTCTGCGAAAAAATTGGCTGAATGAATTTGTTGAAAATTTGGTTATATACCAAGCTTTTTGTGCTCTATCTTTTAAATATTGGCAATAAAATAGGTTTCCTTTGCTAAAATGTCTAAACCGCATCATCGAACCGTTGCCCTTTTTGACTACCTGACTTCACGCTACCAAAAAAACCAGACATAAGATATTTTAAACCCGTTTTAATGTTATTTTGCAGAAAAATAATTGGCCTTCTAATGAAACAAATAGTTCAATTAATGCATTCATTGGTTTTAAACGGATGTATGAAAAGAAACGAAAAGACTTTCTGGAGAGCCTAATATGATGAGCTAGCGCGTTAGCCTGGTACTTGATTATAACTTTTCCATTGAGTCTAGAAAAGAATTGAGAAAAAGATGAAATAATCAATCCTTTCAGACTCGCAATTTCCCGTCGCTCAACAAATCTGCAACCTCATCGGTGGGCAGGTGATTCAAATCCAAAACTACTTCGAGAATGTGCTCGCGTCTTCGCAGATTCAACAAAGTAAGCTTCAAATTCGGTCAATTATTATAAGTACTCCATTAGTGCTTATAAGCTATCAACGCACCAATTTCAGTGCTTGGTGGAGCCCCATCGTACATTGGAGTAGTGAAGAACTCCAGCGGAGCGTGGACCTACGCAGATGGGAGCCCGTTAATCTATATGAACTGGAAAGCTGGTAAGTTTTGGGGTTAGACCAGGCCAGTTTCTGATAATGATTAGACAGATCTAGCTTCGGGTCTGGTTCTGGCAAATTTACAAGCTCTAGGTGCCCATTGAACTAACTCTGGATGCCGTATTTTTTCTAATAGTAGTGCACCCTGCCGAGCCGAGTTGGTCACTATTTTACGGTTTCCAAGTTTTCACAAAAGCTCAACCCTCTAATCCCCCACAAGATCACATCGTCAGCTACATTTTCCGACCCCACATCCATAGGTTCTGATAAGCAGTTTTTGAGATTTCGACTAATTCAGACGAAGCTCATGGTGCACTACTATTAGGAAAAATACGGGATGCTGATTTCTTGTGTTTGAGAACTAATCGTACAAGAGATTCTCTTCACAGGTCACCCGCTCGACAATGCGACTTGCGCCGTTTTGAATGGACAAGATTTCTCGTGGTACTCCGCGCAATGCACCGACACGAATCCCTTCATTTGCACATTCCCCGATCAGAGTGAGTAACAGTGGAACTGATCAATCATTCCCGATTCTCTTTCAGGATGCCCTAGCGGCTGGGTGTTGAATTCACAACTCAAGAGCTGCTACTTGTTCTCGGTACCAGATTTTTGGGTCTTTTCAAGTGATTAAGGAGTTTACAGCAAACCGATCTTGCTAATCCATTGATTTACAATTACACCGGGGCAGAGATGATTTGTCAATACATGGGCGGACATCTCACATCGATTCATTCGTCTGACGAGGAGGCTTTTTTGAGAAGTGAGTATAAAGTTACAGACTTTAGATTAAATTCTTTTAAATTTCTAATCTTATCTCAATCCAATCTTAATTTTTCAATCCTCAAAGATTTTTTGACTCCTCCAGGCTCGATCAAGACAAACTGGACGGGCATCGATTGTGGTCTTCTCCAAGCGGTGATCGGATTGAAATGCAGCAGTTACAACTACTATTGGAGTGATGGAACCGCTTTCAACTTTGATCTCACTGAGGGACACTGCAACTACGTTTGGGGAGTGAGTTGTTGATTGGTTGCTCAAAAACTTTGCAAAAAATCCATCTTGCCTAGTGCCAGATTTGAAATTTCATTACATTGCTTCTTACACACTTCTCATTACACAAACTCAATTCAGGGCTAGCTATCGGTCCTCGGACATTTGATACGCGCCCGGCATTGGCCCCGCAGATTGCCATTGGCAATTTAACTTTGAGCTCAAATATCTTGGTGTTGAGCTGTTCAATTTAAGTATTCTTGGCATGATTGGATGCGCCAAGTCTTTCTCCATCGATTGGCGCAAAAACTATTTAAATTAGACAGCTCAACACCAAGATACTTGAGCTTAAAGTTGGATTGTCAATGGCAAAGGAGGCGGGGGCGTATATAAGCCCCTAAGCTCCGCCCGTTTTCCTATTAGCAATCTAAATTTGAGCTCAAATATCTTGGTGTTGGGGCTTCCAATTTAAATAGTTTTTGTATCAATTGACGGAGAAAGACGTGGCGCATCTAATGATACAAAGAATATTTAAATTGGACAGCCGAACACCAAGAAATTTGAGCTCAAAGTTGGATTGCCAATGGAAAAGGGGCGGGGCTCAGATCAAATGTTCCGCAATCCTAGCTATCAGCTAGTCAAGTTCGATCAGGGACTGGTCAATGCTTTGTTACTTCAAGTGAGGCTAGAGTCAGTCTCAAGATAGATGAAACTCGATTAGATCCGGACTACAATCTTAATATCTAAATGTTATATCCGATTTAGACTCAACAATAGTTTTAACAATTGCTTGGTAAATCATGTTTTTGACAGTTTTTGATGCACTAAATCATTTTTTTATATCAAAAACAATGTCAGAATAGTTGCGCCAAAATCCTGTAACTTTTGCCGAATTTAGCCACTTTTGAAAGAATACGAAGTTTTAGTTTTTTCATTGATGTCGCCAAATTGATCAAGAACTGTTAAAAACTAGTTTGCTCTGTATTGCGAATTACTAGTGTGCTTTCTCTTGAATTCACTAGACGTGGCTAGACCTATGCTTTGCTTAACAAAACCAAGTTTATTCAATACAGCAAAGCGTGTGAAAATGTTTCAACAAAGTTCAAAAAAACAATGTTTTTCTAAAAAGATAAAAAGAAATCACGTTAATGAAAATTGTGGAAGGATCTCAAACAAAAGAAACCAACTTTCGTAAGAGAAAATGAGAGAAACCTTTGACTAAATGGAGAAGGAGGCGTCGTTTTATACGCATGTGAGCGCGACATTGTTAGAGTACGGTATTTCTGGTGTCTTATTAGACTGCAGCAGCTTTTTGGTGATTCGTGAACAAACGAAACGATTGTTAAAACTAATGTTGCGTCTAAATTGATTATAATATAAACACTGTCATTTTCAGATTCAAAACGACAAAAACTGTCCGGACTACAAGAAAACTTGGGACTACTGGGATAGTGCCCACCAATTCTTGCGCTTCATCTGCAAGCAACCAATCAACGACAGTCAGACAAGAAAGATCGCATTGTTGGCAAAATTGGGGAAATCGATTCAAAAGCATAATTGAACAAATTGAATGAATTATAAATGAATAAATTGATTATAAGAAAGTTTTTGAGCTAACATCACTACAAATTGATGATAAAAGGATAGAACTGAGTACAGAAGCTGTGCTCATATCTACTATAGATAAAGCAGAAGAGACGTCTCTCTGTCCGTCCGTCCGTCCGTCCGCCATTGACAAAAATGGACGGGGCTTAGATTGCGCTTAAATTTGCGTCCCGCTGGTTTAAAAATAAGTTTGAAATGATTAATGACTCAAAATCCAGGCTTGATTACTCAAGAACAACAAAAGTCAAAGAAAATTTGTCATTTTTGCTTATCTTTGCTTTTTGGAAATGGTTTCACTTTTATTGAAGTAACAAAAAGCTTTATGAACTCTGAGATCAAGATTTCACTGAAATTTGAAAACAACTAATGTAGAATGATGAGTGATAAAGATTTGAATGAAAAAATCAACTGAATTTTTCCAAAAATTTTCTTAAAATATTTAAACAAAAGGATTTTTCCATTAGCAACAGCCTTTCCGTGTGTAATTTGTGCTCATTTCCGGATAAAAATATCCTTTCTAGTGCACTCAATGTATTTTTCTTCATTTTGAGCTAATAATAGTAATTTAAAGCTTTGATATCACACATAAAACATAGAAATTATCTTCAAAAAGCTTGCTAAAGCGCATTATTTTTATCGCATCTCTTTGTCCTAGGGAAGGAATGATTTTCAAATACAATTCTTGAAAAAAACGCTTCTATTACTTTTTTAAACGTTGCAAATTCTTTCAGTTTAGAAATTCAACTGTTAAGATCTTTAGGAAATGACATTTTCCCTCTTGAAAGTCTTTTTCCTTGGACTTTCGTCGATCCTCGTGGTTGAAGGTGATTGTCCAGACGGATCATATGCGTTCACGAGCAAAACGAGCATTACTGAATGTATTTTGCCACTTGATGCTGGTTTGTTTAGCTTATTTTGTTCTGTTTTAATTCTAGCGACAATACTATATTATTTAATGATCCACTTTAAACCTCTCAAATTTTAGATGCTGCTTATGGAACAGCGAAAGAAATCTGTCAATTCGCCAATGGTGGTCGTCTCATACAAATCGCTTCACTGGAAGAGAATCTCTATGCGTCGGCTTTTAGTGAAATTAGTGGATTAATATTGAGAATCATTTGAAATCTGTTTTTCAGCCTTGGGCGGATCAGATTTCACTGCGTTGATCGGCTTGGAAAGAAGAGCCGACGGGAAATGGACGTACTCCGATGGAAGCCCGTTGATTTATGAGAATTGGATTGGTGGTGGGAGTTTTGCTTTTTTGAAATGAGTCTTAGAAACTAAACTAAAGTAACCAGCTAGTGGATGTTACAGTAGAGCATAGAGTACAGAAAAAGATCAAACCTTGGGTCAACGATGGGACATGTCTTACTAGGGAAGAGTACTAAGTCACCGTAGGATTTCGAAACAAGACTTAGCCCATTTGATAAAAAAACGAACGGGAAATCCGAACCTGTAAGCAAAATCTGCTCAATGGCTCACAGACGCGAGATTTCTGGAATTAAAGTTTGCACTATAAGCTCTTGAGCTGAGTTTACGGTCCTGTTTCAAAGGTGGCCGTGGCGTAGGGATTCATGTGCTTGTCTACAGAACCGATCGAGCTTTTGTAGTGAGTTCGAATCCCCCAATTGGCAAACGTATTTGCTTTTTATTTTTTATAAAAATATTTTTGTTTTTCACAAATCCTTATACGATTTTGCTTTATTTTCAAACTGGAACAAGATAGAATGCCTGCTCACTGATTTCAAACAAATTCATGCAAAAGCTCGATCGGTTCCGTCGACAAGCACACTATCCGCTACACCACGAAACGCCCTTGAAAGGGAAGCATAAACTCAGCTCAAGAGTGTATAGCAAAAATTTTAATGCCAGAAAGCTATTTAGCTATTTAGCCGATTTTCATTACAGATTCGGATTTCCCGTTCGATTTTTTATCAAATGGGCTAAGTCTTGTTTGAAAATCCCATTGTGACTTAGTACTCTTCCCTAGTTAGGCTTGATTGTGATAGCCGGAGCATACTTTAGGTCAAGTTACGGTAGCTGGGGCAGATTTTAAGCCGGTTCACGGGTAGCTGAGCCTCTACAGAAGCTAATGTTCGGATAGGAAGCCGATCGAGTAGTGTGTTAGAAAAAGCCTATAAGCAATGGAATTCAGGCGAAGCGCCGGACAATGGCACGTGCGCAGCGTTGGATGGCACAAGCAAGAAATGGGTGGCTGTCCCCGGCACTGTTCCATATAAATTCATCTGCACTTTCCCGCCAAAAGGCAACTCGTTGCCATCAAGTATCTCAGAATTCCCGTAGACTTTACCGGTGCTTTAACTTTTGGTGTTCATTTGTGATTTTGAAATAAAAATTCATTTTGACTCCAAACATCAAGACACCAGAGAAATGAAAAGCACTTGTAAAAGAGTAAAAATTTGAAACGTTTCCTGAAAATCTATCATATTTACTAGGCATTTTGACAACTCTCGGAACTATAACGACAACTACAAACCCAACAAAGGCTCATACTACTACAACGAGTAAGCAATAAAAATGTAATAATTTAAAAACAACCTATTGGGTTGGGGAGTAGTGTATCATTATATATTATACTATAACTTGATTTTACTCTATAAAATTATCCAATGAACATTTAGCCACAAGACCACCAACTCGAGGCTGTCCATCTGGTTGGGTCAACTTCACGGATCACTGTTATTATTTCTATGTAAATGGGAAAATAGTTAACTTACTGAGAGATTTTAGAACAGACTCGTTTCCGACAAAAGCTTCGCAATCGATTTCATCAGCGCTGAGACTCAATGTCAAAAGCTTGGTGGATCCCAGTCGCATTTGGTGTCGATTCATTCAGATGCTGAATATAACTTCTTGAATGGTTTGTGGCACTATTTTGAAATATGACTTGTTCATGTTAAAAACTGGACTTTCTCGTTCAGCAAACATCAAAACCGATGATGTTCCTTGTGTAAATGGTCGAGCCTTTATCGGGCTCTCTTGCTCCAATGGAAGCTACAAATGGACCGATTCCTCATCAGTCAACTACAATAAAGCACACACATGCTTTAATGATCAATCGGCTGTTTATGCGGTGAGTTGATCTAAAGAGCACCAATTTTAGAAAGTTATCATAACCAAACGGCCAGTTTACATTTGATCAGCCTAATTTTTGTCTCATTGCTTGAACCTAGTGATTCCTTACATCAAGATTGAGCTGATTAAATGAAAACAGGATTACGGTAGTTTAGGTGCCTTTTAGTAAATGTGACTCATTCAGATTATCAACGATTCTGGATGCCAAAATGCTAATGATTATTGGCTAGAGGATTACGCCAACTCTTCAATAAAACAACAAAGATTCATTTGCAAGATGCCAATGTAAAAAACTGTAAAAGTAAAATATTTTCTTTCAATGTCTCATTGTCATTAACACATAGACGACCGCGCTGCTTTATAACTGCGGTTTCGGACCAATATTCAAAATTACCATGTATAACACAACAAAAACTTGTGACTAGGGGTAAAAAATGATCAGAAATCCAAATTTGATCTTAGATTTTGACTAAAACTTCAATTCAAACAAGTGTATAAGCAGCTTTTATTGTATAAGCATTGTAACAAGTGTATAAGTAGCGGATACACACGTTCTGCCCGATCTACGTAGTCGGCCGATCCTTCGGGGCATTTCCCAGCTGCCTCCGAATAGACAAAAAGTATAGCTAAGAGAATTTGCAAAAGCATTTTGGAAAAAATTTTAAGAGGGCTCAACTTGCCAGGTTCTAGTTCTCACTGGAGATACGAAGTACCGTTGGACTTTTCTGATAAAAGATTTAGAGGGGTTTCTTTGCTTTTGCTTCATTGCTCTGGAGTAATCTTTGATGCCATTTGACACGCTGTATCTGAGGTCTATTAAAAGTAGATAAGTCTCGACAAATGCCGAAAGATATTCTTGGATTTGATAGAAACGTTTACCCAACACGGACCATCAAAAGTTTTGATACAATTCTCAAGAAGGCTTCAAGCAAACCTAAAGAAATATTTGGCGTCTTCCTTACAGTAGGGTCCAAAAGTTTGGAACAATCACCTTCCGACAACTTCAACGGATGTATCCAATTTTGTTACTGGAAAAACTGGTCTTGTCGCATTTTTTGTGAACTTTCTGAGTATCAACTTGATTTTATTTGATATTTGTTCTTTCTTTTGTCTTGCACTGCTTCTTGGAACACCCATTATTTAGGGGTCCAAAAGTTTGGAACATAATTTGTTAACATAAAATAACATAATTTGTCAAATTTTTGTTGTCCAAGTGGATTGACTCATCTACTTTGCTAACAAATCGCTTTTAACCAAATTTTTAGCTGATAACAGATTATTTTTGTGTCAGTAAACTACAAATTTTTCTTCTTTTTCCAAAAAGGTTTGCGAATTCAAATGTTTCTTCAAAAAACCTTGCTTGCACGTTAGACCCGAGCAATAAAACCCCTCTAAAGCCTTTATCAGAAAATTCCAATAGCACCTCTTATCTCCAGTGAAAAACTAAAACCCTGTTGAGCTCTCAAAGCTGAGCTCTCAAAAAATTGTTTTCAAAATGTTTTGGGCAATTCTCTTAGCTATACTTTTTGTCTATTCGGAGGCAGCTGGGAAATGCCCCAAAGGATCGACCGACTATGGAGATCGGGGCGAATGTTTGTATCCGGTGAATACAAGTCGGTTTTATGTTCTAAAAATAATTTTAATCACTGTTTCTGTAGTCAGATAGGGCAATAAGACATTCAATTCTTCAGATTTGGTTTTGAAAGCCAAAACGATTGCGTTGAGTGTAAAAACGCCTTTCAGAAACAAACTACACCGTCGCCAAGCAGATCTGCCGAAATTTTAACGGCCAAATGATCAAAATCCATGACATCTATGAGAATGTGCTTGTCGGATTCCAGGCTGCTCAATGTAATCCAAAACTCCTTAAAAATACTTTAAACCCTTTTAGCAATTGCGGCGAATAGTCAATCGTACATTGGTGTGATAAATTCGAACGGAACATGGATTTATGATGATGGAACACCGCTCCTTTATCAGAATTGGAGAGCAGGTGGGGCTGGGATTGGTTTTTGAAAGATTTGCTTGCTTTGTACTCAAGTTTATGCTCCTAAGTTTGTTGGCATTTTGAGCGACTTCGTACTACAACATTTCAAATGTCAATGTTAAACTTTTAGGTCATCCACAAGCAAATGCAAGTTGTGCCGTTGAAAGCGCTCATGACTATAATTGGACATCTATCTCCTGTGATGATATGCATCCGTTCATTTGTTCGATTCCCGATCGAAGTAATATCAGTTCTGCAAATTGACTAGAAACCTCTTTCACTAGAACTTAGCAAAGCTTTGCTTTGAAGACTTTTGGAAATTTTTGAAATTCGGTTCAGATTGTCCAAACGGATGGGTCGCCTACGATGAGATGTGCGACTACTTTTACGTAAAACATCGCTAGAAACCTAAATCACATCTGATTTTAAGACCCCAAATTGGCTGCCAGGAAACAAACATTTACCAAATCGCAAGCGCAAAATGCTTGCCTGGCAATGGATGCTAATCTCACCTCAGTTCTAAATGAATCTGAGTTCAACTTTTTGAAAGGTAAACAGCGCACATCAACAAGAGAAGATCACATAGAATAAAATCTCTAACGATCAATAATATGACATTTTTGTTGCATTTCAATGGTGCATACAATTCAGATCAAATTGCAACTAACTCTTCGATTGTTAGCAGTATCGATGAGACAAACGATCTAGCTCTAATTGGACTAACCTGTGTGGATGACATCCGTTCATGGCTTGATGGATCACAGTTTGCTTATGACCTAACTCGATTCGCGTGCTACTCGAGTTATGGGGTAACAATTTCGACCTTATAATACTTCTTGAAATGAGCTACTTTGCCAAATTTTTATGAACCTGACTCAACGTTTAGATAATGAACGATACGCGTTGTGATCGGAGCTATACGGATTATTGGGTCGAGGCCAATGTATTTTATCGCTACATTTGCAAGAAGAGTCTTGTTTCTGGCTTTGATCTTCTGAAAGCACATTTCGAATAAATTGTTTTACATGACAAAAAGCAAAGCTGCTTTTCAAAAAGCTACACAGACGAATTTTAGTCACACCTCTTTGGTTTTCTGATTTTTGATGAAGAACGGGAACTCTTAATTATCTATTCGAATCCTAACGAGCAAGCCAAAAGGCTCTAACAATTTTTGGGACACATTGTTATTTATATTCGATTTTCACAAGGACTCTTATTCAAAATTGCTCTATAGAATTGTCAAAATAATGGGTCTTTGTGTAAATGTCGTACTTCTAAACAAAAATCGTATTTGTCTACAATTGTAACCTTGATTTTGATCGGTGGTGGATTGGGTCAACGAATCGATTCAACAAATCAAATTAAGGTTTAAGCACAAACATGTGTGCCTCTCGAATAATCCATTTCCTGAAAAGTGGCATTTTTTAAAAGCTACCATAATCCTCATCAGCTAACCAGCCACTTTTGATATTTGATATTTCAGCCTACGATCCGAATCCGATTTCTGAATGTGTTCCGAGTACAAGATTCAGAGCGGATAACATCGATAGTGTTGGGATGCATCGGATTTCAACAATTGCACGTACAAAACATAACTTTATCTTGAATTTCTGTTTTCCAAGCTTCTAATAGAAAATCCATGATGCGCTTTGGGACACCAAAGTGAACTCGTGGATTGGACTACTGCAATGATTCAAGTAAGGAGAAGAGGTTTGCATGTAAACTTAAAAAGTAATTCCAAAGTTTCGGTGTGTTTTGCGTGCTCGTGGCTTTTCCGAGGGAGTACGACGAAATTGTTAAAGTCATCCCAAAATATGTTTCCAAACCACAAACTTATCCAGTTGAAACGAAAAGCCAGATCAAACAATAATTTCCCCTGATTTGTTGATTTATGCAGACTTTTCCAATTTTTAGCACTTACTAGAAAAATGAAACGTTGACTTGCATGAAAGCCTAGATTAGATGTGCATCGAAACTCGAAGGGAAAAGGGGAAGTTGGAAGACGGAGAAGGTAAAACTTTGCCCTGAAAATCGATCCAAGAACGGAAAAAATGTATTTATTGCATACAAGTTTGATGGTTTGGCAAAAAGGAGAGGTCAAAAACGATTACCGAATAGTACTAATACCTAATGAAATAAAAAAGAATGCTAAAAATTTGTTTATCAGCAGATTTATGAGGCTCTCAGCTATACTTTGTCTAATTGTACACAATCCATGTATATCTTTTGCAACGAGGACGGTAACTGGGAACTTACTGATGCTGGTGAAGTGGTTTTAGAATTTCCCCACTAAAGAATGATGCTTTAGAGAAGCTTGTTGAAAGACAGCGACATCACACCGGAGCTGAGTCATGTTCCAATGATGATCCGACTCCAAACCCGACACCTAGAAAGACATAATTTCAAGAAATACAATATTTAAATAAAAGAGCACATGCAGCCTTTGATTTTGCACAAAAAAGTGAATTCCCTTTTCTATTTGGCTACTTTACTTTAAATATAGCTATCATACTGGCAAAATACGTATCAAAAAGGATTGCTTTCCCACAAAATATTGCTTTGTAAAAGAAAACCTTGTACGGTTCACAGAAAATGCTTGTCTCTTTCAAATCAAATCCAGTCAAACCTCGATTTAACGATTCTCAAGGGACCGGGATTATCCAGCGTTAAATCGAACGTCTTTATAAGGTAAATAGCGTTCCAGGGAGCAAAAAGAGGATTAAAATGAAAAAATCATTTGCAACGAAAAATTGCACGGAGAAATGCTTTACATTGATTCGAAATATGCCTTTATCATTGCAAAACGGTTAGAATTTGCCTATTGAGTGATTTTTGACCGTTTGTAACAGCAAATCCCGAAATTGACCAATTTTCAATAGTTTGAGTAGAATGAAAGATCAAGTCTAGGTACATGATTTGTGCAGAGATTAATATCAAAGTGCAGCCGAATGGCAAGCAAAAGACATTAAACTCGTTCGATTGCTTCTTTTTTCAAAAATAACCTCTTCAAAAGTTCAACTCGCTTTTTCAGTCATCGCTTTCATCATCCGTTTCTTGACACTACGTACGTTAGACCTGTTTATAGATTTCTATAAACATCAAAAAGCGCAAATGCATCAAAAATGGTAGTTCAGGGAAAGGCTTTCAGCCGCTGAAATGCCCACAATAAATGAGGCTTTTGCAACTCCACTTGCATCGGCGTAGGTCCGGTGCGTTTTTTCTCGTTAACAGTCTATGCACCTTATAAAACTTTTAGTTTACCAACGTTGTCGAATGTTGCCTCTACATCAGTTCACTAACTGGCTATCCGTATTATACCGGCTTTTGCTCGTTTGACCAGAAAACCTATTTTACGATAATTAGTGAATTGCACTGGTTTTTTTTTGCATCAAATCATGTTTACTATTTGTTTTTTGTATTTAATGAACAAAAATTAAATGGGCATAAAACGAGTTAAAAACTGAAGACTTCCATATACTGAATGAACAAAGCGCTGATTGTAACCAATTATGACGTTTGACAAGAACTGCAAAAACAATTTTTTTAAGGCTTTACTGGATTTCTTTTGAAATAGCTCATTAATCATTTTTGGGTAAACCCAATGTATTAAATACATAATGGACTTTAGAAGTTTTCTCAAATATTTCTCAAAGCTTGTCTCAAAATTCCATTCACAATTCCATAAGACCTTGATGGTTTCACTAGAACCCGTTCTTTCTTTGTTTTTGTTGATTTGATAATGGGAAACTTTCAAAGCTTCAAATAATTGCTTTTCTCAATTTATCAGCATTCAAATCTTTGGTAATATACACAAAGAATAGAGGAAATAGAAATAAACGTGTGTTTGTATAATTTAAAAAAATAAATGTTTGTTTTTGAAGATTATAATTAGTTTTTATTAGAACTTTCTGGGGCCAGCAATACGGCAGCTCAAATCTTGTATATGTTGATGTTAAGAGATAAAATTTGCTTATACAATTGTTTGAATTGAAGTTTTAGTCAAAATCTAAGATCAAATTTGGATCTCTGATCATTTTTTACCCCTAGTGACAAGTTTTTGTTGTGTTATACATGGTAATTTTGAATCTTGATCTGAAACGGCAGTTCTGCTAAAACAGCGCGGTCGTCTATGTGTTAATGTCAATGAAACATTGGGAGATCACTAGGTTCAAGCAACGAGGCAAAAATTAAGCTGATCAAATGTAAACTGACCGTTTGGTTATGATAACTTTCTAAAATTGGTGATTTTTAGATCAACTCACCGCATAGACAGTCAATTGATCATTAAAGCATGTTGGTGCTGTATTGTAGTTGACTGATGAGGAATCGGTCCATTTGTAGCTTCCACTGGAGCAAGAGAGCCCGATAAAGGCTCGACCATTTACACAAGGAACATCATCGGTTTTGATGTTTGCTGAACGAGAAAGTCCAGTTTTTAGCATGAACAAGTCATATTTCAAATTAGTGCCACAAACCATTGAAGAAGTTATATTCAGCTTCTGAATGAATCGACACCAAATGCGACTGGTTTCCACCAAGCTTTTGACATTGAGTCTCAGCGCTGGGGAAATTGATTGAGTAGCTTTTGTCGGAAACGAGTCTGTTCTAAAATCTCTCAGTAAGTTAACTATTTTGCCATTTACATAGAAATAATAACAGTGACCCGTGAAGTTGACCCAACCAGATTGACAGCCTCGAGTTGGGGATCACAGTTTGCTTATGACCTAGCTCGATCCTACTGCACCTCGAGTTATGGGGTGACAATTTCGATCTTAGACTCTAATACTTCTTGAAATGAGCTACTTTGCCAAATTTTTATGAACCTAACTCAACCCATCGAGCCATGAATAGATGCCAGTCACACAGGTTAGTCCACTTAGAGCTTGGGCGTGGGCACAATCGTTACTGCTAACAATCGAAGAATTAGTTGCGATTTGATCTGAATTGTATGCACCATTGAAATGCAACAAAAATTTCATATTATTGATCGTTGGAGATTTTATTTTATGTAAACTTCCCTTGGTGATGTGCGCTGTTTACCTTTCAAAAAGTTGATGTATGTATTTTTTGATTTTTAGGAAATGGATTATTCGAGAGACACACATTTTTGTGCTTAAATCTTACTTTGATTTGTTGAATCGATTCGTTCACCCAATCCGAATAGACGAATACGATTTTTGTTTAGAAAGTACGACATTTACACAAAGACCCATTATTTTGACAATTCCATACAGCAATTTTGAATAAGAGTCCTTGTGAAAATCGAATATAAATAACAATGTGTCTCAAAAATTGTCAGAGCTTTTTTTCGCATGCTCGCTAGGATTCGGATAGATAATTAAGAGTTCTCGTTTTTCAGAGAAATTCATTAAGCCAATTTCTTCGTAGAGGTTTTTAAAGGTTTTTACGAAAAACACGTCGAATTTACTTGAAAGTGAACCGAAATTGACTTAAAAAGATGGGAAATTGAACAAGAAACACTTTTTATTTAGAGAAAACCATAGGTTAATTGGTGAATTTGTTATTTTTCAAAAAGATGTATGAAAAAAATTGTTTGACAACCTAATATAATCATATTTGGGAAAGAAAAGATATTCAGGCAAAAGAATTGAGTGAAATTTATACTTTTCCGTAGTGGTTTCACGTTTTTACTTTCAATTACCCTTAAGTGTGAATTGCAGCGGTGGTGCTGATTATTCAGCACGCTACAGGGCAATTTACCCCGACCAGAGCAAGACAGGCAAGACGATGCCTAAAGCTAGGTCCTGACAGACTTCTGACAAGCTTAAGCAAGCCTGACTTGGTTTTACTTGACTCGCAAGAAGTCTTAGGCGCCTAAACTGACTTATTGGCTCAAGGCCAAGCCTGACAAAAAAATATTGGCGAATAACTCGCCAGAGCCTAAATCGAAGTAAAGAAAAGAAACTTCTAGGAAAAGAAACTTCAATGAATTGCTGAAAATAGCTTTTCACCAACCTGAGTGTATTAGACCAACTCCAAGGCACAATCTCCAGTCTCAACGTAGAAATAGTTTGCCCCGTACGGAACAAAAACACCACGACAACCAGCTAACGGATTTGACGTTTAAGTGAAAATGATCACTTTTCACTTATCACTTACGAATCGCATACACTGCAGCTGTAGCGAGTGGATAAGCTATCATAATTATGTATTGAATAATAATCTTTGTCTCTTCAAATCGTTTGTAGAAACGCCCATCAAATGAGGGAGCACAGAAACGGAAAAAAGAAAGAAAGAAATAGCCACATATTGGTCCCGGATTAGAAACCACCGTTCGTTTTTGTTGAAGAATCCAAGTCTTTTGAAAGTTCCCCTCCAAGAATTCCTTTGTGATGTAGTTGGGAAGCATGTGTTCTCTCTTTTCTTGCCAATAAATTAATGATTTTGATTGAAATTTTGATTCAATCTTTTTATCCAACGTTTTCCTTGGCATCACCACAAATGGTCTTAAGTTTTTTCCGTCAGCTCGTCCTGTCAGCATTACCGAAATATTCATTCTCTCGCACGGTTCAGAACGCAGATTTCATTTGCTCCTGTCGATTCAATGCATTTAAATATCAGCAAATTTAAGCATTTGTTCTTCTTTTCTTCTAAGAGATAAAATTGCTTATATTAGGTTGGCGACATTGAAATTCCGTTTTTGAGCAACAACAAAATTTATTCGTTAAAATCAACTAGAGACAATTAATCAACAATATATTCCTCACAGCTATGAATCACATTTTTCTATCTTTGACCCAAATTATGGACACTCTCTTGAAAGCTTTGCTGGTTTTGATTGAAAGAAAGCAGAGGCCCATTTTTTGATGTCGTCAATGTTCTGGAACTTCTGGCTTTCGAGTGAATGCCGCATACTTCGAAAGAAATGGTAATCAGACGGGGCATTATCTGGACTATAAGGTGGATGAACTAGAAGTTCCCAGCCCATCTAGTTGTTGAACGTAAAGATTTGCATCGACAGTCTGACCAGAAATTAACACTTCGAAATGAACCAGGCCTCGGGCATTTCACCAAACCTACAGCATAACTTTTTTCCGTGAAAATCGGGTTTAGGTATTGGCTTTCGAATTCCACCCGGGTCGAGCCATTATCTTATCCTTGTAATATTGTCATAATGAATCCATTTCTTATCAGAAGTTAAAATTGCATCTCAAAATCCACTATTCTTGGAAATTCGAAGCAACTTTCCTGAACAAAGAACTCTGATGGCTTTGCTTGCATCGCTTAGTGAATGTGGAATCCATTTTCCAGCTTTATTGAGCTTGCCCAATTCATGCAAATGGTTTTCGGTGGTTTTATGATCACAATTGAAATATTCCGCAAGTTCACATGTAGTCTTTATCGGATCACTTTCGATTATCTGCTTCAAATCGTTGTTTGCCACAGCCTGTGAGCGGTGTCCTCGTCACAGATCTTCCAGACTTCCGTCACCCTTTCGAAATCTTTTGAACCAGTTTTGACATTGCTGAACAGTGATAACATTTTTCTCAAATACGTTACAAAGTGATTCATGCTATTCAGTTGCTGTTTTTTCATGTTTGAAATTGTACAGCAACAAATGCGACGTCGAGATTTGAGGTCGTCTAGCATCTATAAGATTTTTTTATTAAAATTCTTCAACTGGAAATAAAGAAAAGACGCGTAATAAAGCACAATAACTATATCTTTAAAACAGAAGAGATTGCGGTGGTAATAGTATCCACAGTGTTAAAATCCATAAAGAGAAGCCCAAACGAAATTTCAATGTCGCCAACCTAATAAATTAATGTAAAAAACAAAATAAATGCAAAATTTGGGTGTAAAAAAAGTGCAAAAAAATAAAGAAACCTGAAATGAAAAAGAAGTGTAAAGGAGATCAATTATTCAAATTTTGAGCAAAATAAATGCAAATTTGGGCTGGCGGGCGCTTCAATTACAGCATTTTCGGTAGAACTTTAAGACGTCAGCAGCAAAAGTCAGCAAAATTTCCTACTTTTGGCGGGAAACCCATTGATAAAGCGGTGAAAGCTAGACCGCCGAAGAGATGATCGAGAAATGGGAGCAAAATCGGTTTATTTTTGTGCCAGTAAACTGCAAATTTTTCTTCTTTTTCCAAAAAGCTTTGCGAATTCAAATGTTTCTTCAAAAAACCTTGCTTGCACGTTAGACCCGAGCAATAAAACCCCTCTAAAGCCTTTATCAGAAAAGTCCAATAGCACCTCTTATCTCCAGTGAAAGACCAAAACTCAACTGGCAGAGCTAAAACCCTGCAAGTTGAGCTCTCAAAAAATTGTTTTCAAAATGTTTTGGGCAATTCTCTTAGCTATACTTTTTGTCTATTCGGATGGAGCTGGGAAATGTCCCGAAGGATCGACCGACTACGGAGATCGGGCAGAATGTGTGTATCCGGTGAATGCAAGTTGGTTTTATGTTCTACAACTTATTTTAATCGCCGTTTTTGTAGTCAGATAGGGCAATAAGACATTCAATTGTTGAGATTTGGTTTTGAAAGCCAAAACAATTGCGTTGAGCATAGTAAAAATACCTTTCAGAAACAAATTACACCGTCGCCAAGCAGATCTGCCGAAATTTTAACGGCCAAATCATCATAGTCCGTGACATCTTTGAGAATGTGATTGCCGGATCCCAGGCTGCTCTATGTAATCAAAAATTTCTCAAAAATTCTTTAAATCCTTTTAGCAATTGCGGCCAATAGTCAATCGTACATTGGTGTGATGAATGCGAACGGAACATGGATCAATGATGATGGAACACCGCTCGTTTATCAGAATTGGAAAGCAGGTGGGGCTGGGATTGGTTTTTGAAAGATTTGCTTTCTTTGTACTCAAGTTTATGCTCTTAAGTTTGTTGGCATTTTGAGCGACTTCGTATTACAAAATTTCAAATGTCAATGTTAAACTTTTAGGTCATCCGCAAACAAATGCAAGTTGTGCTGTGGAAAGCGCTCAAGACTATAAATGGACATCAGTCTCCTGTGATGCTCTGCATACGTTTATTTGTTCGATTCCCGATCGAAGTAATATCAGTTCTGCAAATTGACTAGAAACCTCTTTCACTAGAACTTAGCAAAGCTTTGCTTTGAAGACTTTTGGAAATTTTTGAAAGTCAAAACGAACTCGGTTCAGATTGTCCAAACGGATGGGTCGCCCACGACAAGATGTGCTACTACTTTTACGTAAAACATCGCTAGAGACTTAAATCACTTTTGATTTTAGGATCCCAAATTGGCTCTTATGAATCAAACATTTACCAGAATGCAGGGGCAAAATGCTTGCCTGGCAATGAACGCTAATCTCACCTCAATTCTAAGTGAATCTGAGTTCAACTTTTTGAAAGGTAAACAGCGCACATCAACAAGAGAAGTTGACATAAAATAAAATCTCCTAGGATCAATAATATGAAATTTTTGTTGCATTTCAATGGTGCATACAATTCAGATCAAATTGCAACTAATTCTTCGATGATTAGCAGTCAAAGTTGTCAGAACCCCCAAGCTCTAATTGGACTAACCTGTGTGGATAACATCCGTTCATGGCTCGATGGATCACAGTTTGCTTACGACCAAACTCTATCCCAGTGCGACTCGAGTTATGGGGTAACAATTTCAATCTTAGACTTCTATAACTTCTTGAAATGAACTACCTCGCCAAATTTTTATTTACCTAACTCAACGTTGAGATAATTAACGATACCCGTTGTGAACGGAGCGCATATTGGGATTATTGGCCCGACGACTTTGGATATTATCGCTACATTTGCAAAAAGAGTCTTGTTTCCAGCTTTGATCTTCTGAAAGCACATTTCGAATAAATGTTTTTAGATCATATTGGGATTATTGCTTTTCAAAAAGCTACACAGACAATTCTTAGTTACACCTCTTTGGTTTACTTATTTTTTCTGAAAAACAGGATTTCTTAACTATCTATTCGAATTCTAACGAGCTCTCGAAAAATCTCTCACAATTTTTGAGACACATTGTTATTTATATTCGATTCTCACGAGGACTCTTATTCAAAATTGCTGTATGGAATTGTCAAAATAATGGGACTTTCTGTAAGTGTTGTACTTCTAAACAAAAATCGTATTTGTCTACAATTGTAATCTTGATTTTGATGGGTGGTGGATTGGGTGAACGAATCGATTCAACAAATCAAAGTAAGATTTAAGCACAAAAAAGCGTGCTTCTCGAATAATCCATTGCCAAAAAAGTGGCATTTTTTTAAAAGCTACCATAATCCCCTCTAAACTTGAGCTAAGCATCCACTTTTAATATTTGGTATTTCAGTCTAAGATCCGAATCCGATTTCTGAATGTGTTCAGAGTACAAGATTCAGAGCGAATCTCGTCGAGAAGTGTTGGGATTCATCGAATTTCAACAATTGCACGTACAAAACATAACTTTATCTTTAATTTCTGTTTTTCAGGCTTCTAATAGAAAATCGCTTTGGTATGATGCGCTTTGGGAGATCAAAGTGAACTCGTGGATTGGACTACTGCAATGATTCAAGTAAGGAGAAGAGATTTGCATGTAAACTTAAAAAGTAATTCCAAAGTTTCAGTGTGTTTTGCGTGCTCAAGGCTTTTCCGAGCGAGTACGACGAAATTGTTAAAGTCATCCCAAGTATGTTTCCAAATTAATCCAAACTTTATCCAGTTGAACCCAAAAACCAGATGAAGCAACCCGTGATTTGTTGATTTGTTGACTTTTCCAATTTTTAGCACTCACTCAAAAAATGAAAAGTTGACTTGCAAGAAAGCCTAGATTAGATGTGCATCGGAACTCGAAGGTAAAAGGGGAAGTTGGAAGACGGAGAAGGTAAAGCTTTGCCCTGAAAATCGATCCAAGAACGGAAAAAATGTAATTATTGCATACAAGTTTGATCCAGGCCAAAAAAGAGCGGTCACAAACGATTTCCGAATTGCACTAATATCTAATGAAATAAAAAATAATGCTAAAAATTTGTTTATCAGCACATTTAAGATTGGTGTTAGTTGTGATTTGGAAATAAAAATTCATTTTGACTCCAAACATCAAGACACCAGAGAAATGAAAAGCACTTGTAAAAGAGTAAAAATTTGAAACGTTTCCTGAAAATCTATCATATTTACTAGGCATTTTGACAGTTCTCGGAACTACAACGACAACTACAAACCGAACAAAGGCTCATACTACTACAACGAGTAAGCAATAAAAATGTAATAATTTAAAAACAACGTATTGGGTTGGGGAGTAGTATATCATTATATATTATATTAAAACTTGATATTACTCTATAAAATTATCCAATGAGCATTTAGCCACAAGACCACCAACTCGAGGCTATCCATCTGGTTGGGTCAACTTCACGGATCACCGTTATTATGTAAATGGGAAAATAGTTAACTTACTTTAGAACAGAAGAGATTTTAGAACAGACTCGCTTCCGAGGAAAACTTCGAAATCGATTTCCCCAGCGCTGAGACTCAATGTCAAAAGCTTGGTGGAAACCAGTCGCATTTGGTGTCGATTCATTCAGAAGCTGAATATAACTTCTTGAATGGTCTGTGGCACTAATTTGAAATATGACTTGTTCATGCTAAAAACTGGACTTTCTCGTTCAGCAAACATCAAAACCGATGGTGTTTCTTGTATAACTGGTCGAGCCTTTATCGGGCTTTCTTGCTTGAGGGGAAGCTACAAATGGACCGATTCCTCATCAGTCAACTACAATAAAGCACACACATGCTTTAATGATCAATCGGCTGTTTATGCGGTGAGTTGATCTAAAGAGCAACAATTTTAGAAAGTTATCATAACCAAACGGCCAGTTTACATTTGATCAGCCTAATTTTTGTCTCACTGCTTGAACCTAGTGATTCCTTTTATTAAGATTGAGCTGATTCAATTAAAAGTTGATTACGGTAGTTTAGGTGCCTTTTAGTAAATGTGACTCATTTAGATTATCAACGATTCTGGATGCACACCTATTAATGGTTATTGGGTAGAGGATTACGCCAACTGTGCAATACCACAACAAAGATTCATTTGCAAGATGCCACTGTAAAAAACAATAAAAGTCAAATATTTTCTTCCAATGCTTCATTGTCATTTACACATAGACGATCATGCTGTTTTAGCAGAACTGCCGTTTCGGACCAAAACTCAAAATCACCATGTATAACCCAAAAAAAACTTGTCACTAGGGGTAAAAAATGATCAGAGATCCAAATTTGATCTTAGTTTTTCACTAAAACTTCAATTTACAATTGTATAAGCAAATTTTATCTCTTAACATCAACATATACAAAATTAGAGCTGCCGTATTGCTGGCCCCAGAAAGTTCTAAGAAAAACGAATTATAATTTTCAAAAACAAACATTTATTTTTTTTTCTTATACAAACACATACGTTTATTTCTATTTCCTCTATTCTTTGCGTGTATTATCGAAGATTTGAATGCTGATCAATTGAGAAAAGCAATCATTTGAAGCTTTGAAGGTTTTCGATTATCAAATCAACAAAAGCAAAAAAAGAATGGGTTCTAGTGAAATCATCAAGATCTTATGGAATTGTGAATGGAATTTTGAGACAAACTTTGGTAAATACTTGAGAAAACTTTAAAAGTCCATTATATATTTAATACATTGGATTTATCCAAAAATGATTAATGAGGAATTTCAAAAGGAATCCAGTAAAACCTTAAAAAATTGTTTTTGCAGTTCTTGTCAAACGTCATAATTGGTTACAATCAGCGCTTTGTTCATTCAGTATATGGAAGTGTTCAATTTTTAATTTGTTTTATGGCCCTTTAAATTTTTAATCATAAAAACCAAATAGTAAACATGATTTCAGGCAAAAAAAGAAATCAGCGTAATTTACTAATTGCCGTCAACGCAATAGGCTTTGTCGTCAAACGAGCAAAAGCCGGTATAATACGGATAGCCGGTCCAATAACCGATGTAGAGACAACATTCGACAACGTTAGTAAACTAAAAGTTTTATAAGATGCATAGACTGTTAATGAGAAAAAAGCTCACCGGACCCACGCCGACGCAAGTGGAGTTGCAGATAGCCTCATTTGTTGTGGTCATTTCAGCGGCTGAAGCTACCATTTTTGATGCTTTTGCGCTTTTTGATGTTCATAGAAATCTATAAACAGGTCTAACGTACGTAGTGTCAAGAAACAGATGATGAAAGCGATGACTGAAAAAGCGAGTTGAACTTTTGAGGAGGTCATTTTTGAAAAGGGAGGCAACCGAACGAATTTAATGGCTTTTGCTTTCCATTGAGCTGCCCTTTTATATTAATATTAATCTCTGCACAAATCATGTGCCTAGACTTGATCTCTCATTCTATTCAAACTATTGAAAATCGGTCAATTTCGGGATTTGCTGTTACAAACGGTCGAAAATCACACAATAGGCAAACTTTGGCCGTTTTGCAATGATAAAGGCGCATTTAGAATCAATGTAAAGCATTTCTGTGTGCAATTTTTGCAAATGATTTTTGCATTTCAATCCTCTACAAGGTTAATTGAGCTGGAAACTCAAAAATGATATCAAAAGGTGCAGAAGCAGAGTGATTTTTTACGTTCTTGAATCGATTTTCAGGGCAAAGCTTTACCTTCTCCGTCTTCCAACTTCCCCTTTTCCCTTCGAGTTCCGATGCACATCTAATCGAGGCTTTGATGCAAGTCAAGGTTTCATTTTTCGAGTAAGTGCTAAAATTGGAGCAATCTGTATAAATCAACAAATCACGGGTCAATGTTGTTTTATCGGGTTCAACTGGATAAAGTTTGGAAAAAGATTTTGGGATGACTTTAACAATTCGGTCGTACTCTCTCGGAAAAGCCTTGAGCACGCAAAGCACACTGAAACTTTGAAATTACTTTTTAAGTTTACATGCAAATCTCTTCTCCTTACTTGAATCATTGCAGTAGTCCAATCCACGATTTCACTTTGGTGTCCCAAAGCGCATCATGGATTTTCGATTAGAAGCTTGGAAAACAGAAATTAAAGATAAAGTGATGTTTTGTACGTGCAATTGTTGAAATCCAATGAATTCCAACACTTCTCGACAATATCCGCTCTGAATCTTGTACTCTGAACACATTCAGAAATCGGATTCGGATCTTAGACTGAAATACCAAATATTAAAAGTGGATGCTTAGCTCAAGTTTAGAAGGGATTATGGTAGCTTTTAAAAAATGCCACTTTTTTGGCAATGGATTATTCGAGAAGCACGCTTTTTTGTGCTTAAATCTTACTTTGATTTGTTGAATCGATTCATTCACCCAATCCACCACCCATCCAAATCAAGGTTACAATTGCAGACGAATATGATTTTTGTTTAGAAGTACGACATTTACAGAAAGACCCATTATTTTGACAGTTCTATACAGCAGTTTTGAATAAGGGTCCTTGTGAAAATCGAATATAAATAACAATGTGTCTCAAAAATTGTCCGAGCTTTTCCGAGTCCTCGTTAGAATTCGAATAGATAGTTAAGAAATCCTGTTTTTCAGGAAAAACAAGAAAATCGGCTGTGTGGCTTTTTGAAAAGCAGCTTTGGTTTTTGTGATGTAAAAGCATTTATTCGAAATGTGCTTTCAGAAGATCAAAGCTGGAAACAAGACTCTTCTTGCAAATGTAGCGATAAAATCCAAAGTTGTCGTCCCAATAGTCCCAATATGCTTCCCCACAAAGGGCATCGTTCAATATCTAAACGTTGAGTTAGGTAAATAAAAATTTGGCGAAGTAGTTCATTTCAAGAAGTTATAGAAGTCTAAGATTGCAATTGCTACCCCATAACTCGAGTCGCACCGGGATAGAGTTTGGTCGTAAGCAAACTGTGATCCATCGAGCCATGAACGGATGTTAGCCACACAGGTTAGTCCAATTAGAGCTTGGGTGTGGTCACAATCGTCACCGCTAACAATCGAAGAGTTAGTTGCAATTTGATCTGAATTGTATGCACCATTGAAATGCAACAAAAATTTCATATTATTGATCGTTGGAGATTTTATTTTATGTAAACTTCACTTGTTGATGTGCGCTGTTTACCTTTCAAAAAGTTGAACTCAGATTCACTTAGAATTGAGGTGAGATTAGCGTTCATTGCCAGGCAAGCATTTTGCCCCTGCGTTCTGGTAAATGTTTGATTCCTAAGAGCCAATTTGGGGTCCTAAAATCGAATGTGATTTAAGTCTCTAGCTATGTTTTACGTAAAAGTAGTAGCACATCTCGTCGTAGGCGACCCATCCGTTTGGACAATCTGAACCGAGTTCGTTTTGACTTTCAAAAATTTCCAAAAGTCTTAAACGCAAAGCTTTGCTAAGTTCTAGTGAAAGAGGTTTCTAGTCAATTTGCAGAACTGATATTACTTCGATCGGGAATCGAACAAATAAACGTATGCAGAGCATCACAGGAGACTGATGTCCATTTATAGTCTTGAGCCCTTTCCACAGCACAACTTGCATTTGCTTGTGGATGACCTAGAAGGTTAACATTGGCATTTGAAATGTTGTAATACGAAGTCGGTCAAAATGCCAACAAACTTAAGAGCATAAACTTGAGTACAAAGAAAGTAAATCTTTCAAAAATCAATCCCAGTTCCACCTGTTCTCCAATTCTGATAAACGAGCGGTGTTCCATCATCATAAATCCATGCTCCGTTCGAATTTATCACACCAATGTACGATTGACTATTCGCCGCAATTGCTAAAAGGGTTTAAAGTATTTTTAAGGAGTTTTGGATTACATAGAGCGGCCTGGGATCCGGCAATGACATCCTCAAAGATGTCTCGGATTTTGATGATTTGGCCGTTAAAATTTCGGCAGATCTGCTTGGCGACGGTGTAGTTTGTTTCTGAAAGGCATTTTTACACTCAACGCAATCGTTTTGGTTTTTAAGACCAAATCTGAACAACTGAATGTCTTATTGCCCTAACTGACTACAAAAACGGCGATTAAAATAAGTTGTAGAACATAAAACCGACTTGCATTCACCGGATACACACATTCTGCCCGATCTCCGTAGTCGGTCGATCCTTCGGGGCATTTCCCAGCTGCCTCCGAATAGACAAAAGTATAGCGAGAATTGCCCAAAACATTTTAGAAAAATTTTTTTGAGAACTCAACTTGCAGGGTTTGAGTTTTTCACTTGAGATAAGAGGTACTATTGGACATTTCTGATAAAAGCTTTAGAGGGGTTTTATTGCTCGGGTCTAATGTGCAAGCAGGGTTTTTTGAAGAAACATTTGAATTCGCAAACCTTTTTGGAAAAAGAAGAAAAATTTGTAGTTTACTGACACAAAAATAATCTGTCATCAGCTAAAAATTTGGTGAAAAACGATTTGTTAGCAAATTGGATGGGTCAATCCACTTGGACAACCAAAATTTATGTTATTTTGAGGTTAGTTCTTTGAAAATTCGATAAGTTGAATGGTTGAAATAAAAAGACAATTGCAATTTGTAAATTTAATTGAGTACCAATGTTTTGGAGACAAGGTAGATCGCAATCCTTGTAAGAGAACAAAATATTGCTTCGTTTTTGTTCGCCTAATTTTCGCCAATGATTTACTGGTTCGGTTTTTGAGTTCTATGAACCATTTTTCACCTGTTTCATTTCCCAAGTTCATTTTCTTGTAACCCTTTTCAATGAGTAATCTTTCATGGAGACAATCACTGGCTTTATTGAAATAATGAATAATCGGTCTATCACTGACGGAGCCATGAATCCATCTGATCCGTCAAAATCCGTCAAAAATCCGTCATGAATCGATCTGATCCGCCTCCACCACTTCCACCAGTTAGCCCCGACGAGATTTTATTTGACATACTGTTTATGGCAATTGTAAGTTTGCAAAACTAGCCTGGTCCTGGCCTTGCCTGACCAAAAAACTGATTTTGGAACAACTCTAGCTATTGCATACCATTTTAACCAAGAAGTTTCAGTGCGGCGCCTTGGGAGTAATCTTTGGTGTTGCCGGGGTGTATACCGTGAAAAGGAACTCGATTCTTAAAGGTAAACCCAATTTCAAAATTGCTTCATTATCTTCTAGGCATTATTGAGCACTATGCTTTTGTTGATTTGTTAAACTTGATCTTGGTCAATGGCTGTCATCTCTTTTGGGGCGTTCCTTGTGCTTTATGGTGAGGGGTTTCATCAGCACTTTTTTAAAAAAGTATAGCATTTAGATCGTTAAGTTTGATTTTTCTTCAGGACATTAAATGAAGTGATCCCATTTCTCGATCATCTCTTCGGCGGTCTAGCTTTCACCTCTCCATCAATCGGTTTCCCGCCAAAAGTAGGAAATTTTTAAAAAGCTTACTGACGTCTTAAAGTTCTACCGTCAATGCTGTAATTGAAGCCCCGCCCGCCCAAATTTGCATTTATTTTGCTTAAAATTTGCATCATTTTACTTTTTGCATTAATTTATTAGGTTGGCGACATTGGAATTTCGTTTGCGTTTCTCTTTATAGATTTTAACACTGTGGATACTATTACCACCGCAAACGCTTCTGTTTTAGAGATATAACTATTGTGCTTTATTACGCGTCTTTTCTTTATTTCCAGTTAAGAATTTTAATAAAAAAATCTTATAGATGCTAGACGACCTCTAATATCGACTTCGCATTTGTTGCTGTACGATTTCAAACATGAAAAAAACTGAATCGCATGAATCACTTTGTAACGTATTTGAGAAAAATGTTCATCAATGTCAAAACTGGTTCAAAAGATTTCGAAAGGGTGACGGAAGTCTGGAAGATCTGGAACGATGACATCGCTCACAGGCTGTGACAAACAACGGTTTGAAGCGGATAATCGAAAGTGATCCGACAAAGACTACACGTGAATTTGCGGAATATTTTAATTGTGATCATAACACAATCGAAAACCATTTTCAAGAATTGGGCAAGCTCAATAAAGCTGGAAAATGGATTCCACATTCACTAAGCGATGCAAGCAAAGCCATCAGAGTTCTTTGTTCAGGAAAGTTGCTTCGAATTTCCAAGAATAGTGGACTTTGAGATGCAATTTTAACTTCTGATAAGAAATGGATTCATGATGACAATATTACAAGGATAAGATAATGGCTCGACCCGGGTGGAATTCGAAAGCCAATACCTAAACCCGATTTTCACGGAAAAAAGTTATGCTGTAGGTTTGGTGAAATGCCCGAGGCCTGGTTCATTTCGAAGTGTTAATTTCTGGTCAGACTGTCGATGCAAATCTTTACGTTCAACAACTAGATGGGCTGGGAACTTCTAGTTCATCCACCTTATAGTCCAGATAATGCCCCGTCTGATTACCATTTCTTTCGAAGTATGCGGCATTCACTCGAAAGCCAGAAGTTCCAGAACATTGACGACATCAAAAAATGGGCCTCTGCTTTCTTTCAATCAAAACCAGCACAATTCTTTCAAGAGAGTATCCATAATTTGCGTCAAAGATAGAAAAATGTGATTCATAGCTGTGAGGAATATATTGTTGATTAATTGTTTCTAGTTGATTTTTACGAATAAATTTTGTTGTTGCTCAAAAACGGAATTTCAATGTCGCCAACCTAATATAAGCAATTTTATCTCTTAGAAGAAAAGAAGAACAAATGCTTAAATTTGCTGATATTTAAATGCATTGAATCGACAGGAGCAAATGAAATCGGCGTTCTGAACCGTGGATACGAGAGAATGAATATTTCGGTAATGCTGACAGGACGAGCTGACGGAAAAAACTTAAGACCATTTGTGGTGATGCCAAGGAAAACGTTGGATAAAAAGATCGAATCAAAATTTCAATCAAAATCATCACCTTATTGGAAAGAAGAGAGAGAACACATGCTTCCCAACTGCATCACAAAGGAATTCTTGGAGGGGAACTTTCAAAAGACTTGGATTCTTCAACAAAAACGAACGGTCGCTTCTAATCCGGGACCAATATGTGGCTATTTCTTTCTTTCTTTTTTCCGTTTCTGTGCCCCCTCATTTGATGGGCGTTTCTACAAACGATTTGAAGAGACAAAGATTATTATTCAATACATAATTATGATAGCTTATCCACTCGCTACAGCTGCAGTGTATGCGATTCGTAAGTGATAAGTGAAAAGTGATCATTTTCACTTAAACGTCAAATCCGTTAACTGGTTGTCGTGGTGTTTTTGTTCCGTACGGGGCAAACTATTTCTACGTTGAGAATGGAGATTGTGGCTTGGAGTTGGTCTACTATACTCACGTTGGTGAAAAGCGCATTTTCAGTAATTCATTGAAGTTTCTTTTCCTAGCAAGGATTTCCTTTTCCTAGAAGTTTCTTTTCTTTACTTCGATTTAGGCTCTGGCGAGTTATTCGCCAATATTTTTTTGTCAGGCTTGGCCTTGAGCCAATAAGTCAGTTTAGGCGCCTAAGACTTCTTGTGAGTCAAGTAAAACCAAGTCAGGCTTGCTTAAGCTTGTCAGAAGTCTGTCAGGACCTAGCTTTAGGCATGGTCTTGCCTGTCGTGCTCTGGTCGGGGTAAATTGCCCTGTAGCGTACTGAATAATCAGCACCACCGCTGGAATTCACGCTTAAAGGTAATTGAAAGTAAAAACCTGGAATCACTCCGGAAAAGTACAAATTCCACTCAATTCTTTTGCCTGAATATCTTTTCTTTCCCAAATATGATTATATTAGGTTGTCAAACAATTTTTTTCCATACTTCCTTTTGAAAAATAACAAATTCACCAATTAACCTATGGTTTTCTCTAAATAAAAGTGTTTCTTGTTCAATTTCCCATCTTTTTAAGTCAATTTCGGTTCACTTTCAAGTAAATTCGACGTGTTTTCCGTAAAAACCTTTAAAAACCTCTACGAAGAAATTGGCTAAATCAATTTCTCTGCAAATTTGGCTATATACCAAATAACTTTTTGTGCTCTATCTTTTATTTTATTGACACGAAGATAGGTTTCCTTAGCTAAATTGTCTAAACCGCATCATCGAACCGTCGCCCTTTTTGACTACCCGACTTTACGCTCCCAAAAAACTCCAGACATAAGACATTTTAAACCCGTTTTAACACATTCACGACCAGGCGGTGGTCAACCCACATGGTGGGTCCCTCGATTTTTTTAGCCTGAGGAGTTAGATCGATCCGAAAGTTTGTGAGAATGCCAAATCGATAGTGGGTAATCCAAATCCGGTGTTAGTTTTTAAAAAGAAAATGTCCCCTGGCAAAATTTGGTGCCAACTGGGTGACATGGCGCAGACGTCCCGTCTCTCTTCCAAATCTGGTCCCAGGCGGGACCAGATTGTGAAAAACAGCCCCTCGTCGTGAATGTGTTAGTGTTATTTGTGGTAAAATGATTTGCCTTTCTAATGGAAAAAACCATCGTTCAATCGGTGCATTCGTTCTTTTTAAAAGGAATTATGAAAAAGAGCGAAAAGACTTGTTTGCCAAATTGATATATTGTTAAAATGGGTTCTTTCCGCGTCTTTTTTAGTCAGTTTTCAAGTTTATTGCTTTCGCTTTTGTTTGTGAACGAGCTATCATTTAATCTGAATCCTCTCAGATTTCGCTCTCGTTATTTGAAATCGTACAAGTAACTTGTTGGGTTAAAGTCAGGGCCGTCAAGGCAATTTCAAAAGGAATCCAGTAAAGCCTTAAAAAAATTGTTTTTGCAGTTCTTGTCAAACGTCATAATTGGTTACAATCAGCGCTTTGTTCATTCAGTATATGGAATTGTTCAATTTTTAACTCGTTTTATGCCCCTTGAATTCATTAAACACAAAAAAACAAATAGTAAACATGATTTCATGCAAAAAAAAAAACCCGGCGCAATTCAGAACCGTGGGCTCTCTAACGCTTCATAGCAGGAATCAGAGATCTTCGAAGGCTAATTTTCCGAGACAAGGATCATGACCAAGCCACTTACCTACCTTCTCTAGCTTACGGCTTTAGAGGCCAATTGAGAAACATCTCTAGTGAAATGCTGACCTCCAGATGAATCCAAATCAAGTCCTGGCTTTAGGTGACGGTGGATCAAGGTGACGAACCATACTATGATGCGCTTTGGGAGATCAAAGTGAACTCGTGGATTGGATCGGCTGGTCATTGCAACGATTCAAGTAACGAGAAGAGATTTTGGTGCAAACTTAAAAAGTAATTCCAAAGTTTCAGTGTTTTTTGCGTGCTCAAGGCTTTTCCGAGGGAGTACGACGAAATTGTTAAAGTCTTAAAAATTTATGCAGACTTTTCCAATTATTATCATTTACTCAAAAAATGAAACGTTGACTTCCATGAAAGCCTAGATTAGATGTGCATCGGGGAAAGGGGAATTTGGAAGGCGGAGAAGGTAAAGCTTTGCCCTGAAAATCGATCCAATAACGTAAAAAATGTAATTATTGCATACAGGTTCGATCCAGGACAAAAAAAAACTGATCAAAAACGATTTCCGAATCGTACCAATAAATAATGAAATGAAAAAGAATGCTAAAAATTTGTTTATCAGCACATTTAACAAACTGTCAGCTATACTTCGTCTAATTGTACACGATCCATGGATATCTTTTGCAACGAGGACGGTAACTGGGAACTTATTGATGTTGGTGGACTGGTTTTAGAATTACCCCACTAAAGAATGATGCTTTAGGGAAGCTTGTTGAAGGACAGCGACATCACTTGCACCGGAGCTGAGTCATGTTCCGATGATGATCCGACTCCAAACCCGACACCTAGAACTTCATAACTTCAAGAAATACAATATCTAAATAAAAGAGCACATGTAACCTTTGATTTTGCACAAAAAAGTGAATTCCCTTTTCTATTCGGCTACTTTACTTGCAATATAGCTATTATACTGGCAAAATTCGTATCAAAACGGATTGCTATTCCATAAAATATTTCTTTGTAAAAGAAAACTTTGTACGGTTCACAGGAAAGGTTTATCTCTTTCTAATCAAATACAGTCAAACTTCGATTTAACGATTCTCAAGGGACCGGGATTCTCCATCGTTAAATCGTTTTTCAAATCTACTATTTGTATATGTTACGACAGATTCCGACCACATTCAAGATAAATGCTAATTCGCGTGAGCTTAGCCAAGGTAAATTAAACTGTAAATTGGGTCTATTTTCTTGTAACACGCTAAAATAGTGAGACATTAATTCACTGCAGTAGTTGCAAGAACTTTAACAAAACTATGTATCAAAACAATGTCATTCGATTAAGAACGATTAAGAAAATCACTCTGCTTCTGCATCTTTTGATGCCACATTTCAGTTTCCAGCTCAATTAACCTTGTAGAGGATTGAAATGTAACAATCATTTGCAAAAATTGCACACAGAAATGATTCACATTGATTCGAAATGCGCCTTTATCATTGCAAAACGGTCAAAGTTTGCCTTTAAATGATTTTTGACCGTTTGTAAGAGCAAGTCCCGAAATTGCCTGATTTTCAAGAGTTTGAATAGAATGAGAGATCAAGTTTAGGCACATGATTTGTGCAGAGATTAATATAAGAGGGAAGCTCAATGGCAAGCAAAAGTCCTTAAATTCGTTCGATTGACTCTTTTCTCAAAAATGACCTCCTCAAAAGCTCAAAACTTTAGCCGTTTTACAATGATAAAGGCGCATTTCGAATCAAAGCAAAGCATTTCTGTGTGCAATTTTTGCATTTCAATCCTCTACAAGGTTAATTGTTTGAACTGGAAACTCAAAAATGACATCAAAAGGTGCAGAAGCAGAGTGATTTTCGTGCAGCTGTTAATTGAATGACATTGATAATATTGATACATTGTTTTGTTAAAGTTCTTGCAAATACTGCCGTGAATTGATGTCCACTCTTTTAGCGCGTTGCAAGAAAATAGGCGCAATTTACAGTTTAATTAGCATTCAACTTGGCTAAGCTCACGCCAATTAGCATTTATTTTGAATGTGGCCGGATTCTGTCGTAACATATAGAAATCGTAGATTTGAAAAATGTGCAGCCTTATCAACTACAATAACCTTCATTAAGGATTTTCACTCCTGACTTACCTCCATTTATTTCTAATGCAAGCAAACATATCAAGAACATTCCTGAACATAACTACAGTTAAACTTCGATTTAACGACTTTCGATTAAACGATTCTCTAGATTTAATAATGTCAATTTTTGGTCCCTTGAAAGCTATTTACCTAAGACGGATAAAGACGTTCGATTTAACGATGGACAATCCCGGTCCCTTGAGAATCGTTATATCGAGGTTTGACTGTATTTGATTAGAAAGAGATAAACCTTTTCTGTGAATCGTACAAAGTTTTTTTTTACAAAGAAATATTTTGTGGAATAGCAATCCGTTGTGATACGAATTTTTTCAGTATGAAAGAAAAGTAGCCGAATAGAAAAGGTAATTAACTTTTTTGTGTAAGATCAAAGGTTACATGTGCTCTTTTATTTAAATATTGTATTTCTTGAAATTATCAAGTTCTAGGTGTCGGGTTTGGAGCCGGATCATTGTCGGAACATGAATCAGCTCCGGTGCAAGTGATGTCGCTGTCAATTCAACAAGCTTCCCTAAATCATCATTCTTTAGTGGGGAAATTCTAAAACCAGTCCACCAAAATCAGTCAGTTCCCAGTTACCGTCCTCGTTGCAAAAGATATCCATGGATTGTGTACAATTAGACGAAGTATAACTGACAGCCTGTTAAATGTGCTGATAAACAAATTGTTAGCATTCTTTTTTATTTCATTAGGTATTAGTGCAATTCGGAAATCGTTTGTGACCGCTCTTTTTTGTCCTGGATCCAACATGTATGCAATAATTACATTTTTGACGTTCTTGGATCGATTTTCAGGGCAAAGCTTTACCTTCTCCGTCTTCCAACTTCCCCTTTTCCTTTCGAGTTTCGATGCACATCTAATCTAGGCTTTCCTGCAAGTCAACGTTTCATTTTTTGACTAAGTGCTAAAAATTGGAAAAATCTACATAAAGCAACAAATCACGGGAAAATGTTGTTTTATCGGTTCAACTGGATAAAGTTTGGATTAGTTTGAAAACATATTTTGGGATGACTTTAACAATTCCGTCGTACTCTCTCGGAAAAGATGGCCTTAGGCACGCAAAGCACACTGAAACTTTGAAATTACTTTTTAAGTTTACAAGCAAATCTCTTCTCCTTACTTGAATCATTGCAGTAGTCCAATCCACGATTTCACTTTGGTGTCCCAAAGCGCATCTTGGATTTTCGATTAGAAGCTTGGAAAACAGAAATTAAAGATAAAGTGATGTTTTGTACGTGCAATTGTTGAAATCCAATGAATTCCAACACTTCTCGACAATATCCGCTCTGAATCTTGTACTCTGAACACATTCAGAAATCGGATTCGGATCTTAAACTGAAATACCAAATATTAAAAGTGGATGCTTAGCTCAAGTTTAGAAGGGATTATGGTAGCTTTTAAAAAATGCCACTTTTTTGGCAATGGATTATTCGAGAAGCACGCTTTTTTGTGCTTAAATCTTACTTTGATTTGTTGAATCGATTCATTCACCCAATCCACCACCCATCCAAATCAAGGTTACAATTGCAGACGAATATGATTTTTGTTTAGAAGTACGACATTTACAGAAAGACCCATTATTTTGACAATTCCATACAGCAATTTTGAATAAGGGTCCTTGTGAAAATCGAATATAAATAACAATATGTCTCAAAAATTGTTAGAGCCTTTTTGCATGCTCGTTAGGATTCGAATAGATAATTAAGAGTTCCCGTTCTTCATCAAAAATCAGTAAACCAAAGAGGTGTGACTAAAAATTGTAGCTAAAAGTGTAGCTTTTTGAAAGGCAGTTTTGCTTTTTGTGATGTAAAACCATTTATTCGAAATGTGCTTTCAGAAGATCAAAGCCAGAAACAAGACTCTTCTTGCAAATGTAGCGTAAAAATGTAGCGGTGTCGGACCAATCATCCCAATATGAGCTCTGAGTACAACCGGTATCGTTAATTATCTAAACGTTGAGTTAGGTTCATAAAAATTTGGCAAAGTAGCTCATTTCAAGAAGTATTAGAAGTCTAAGGTTGAAATTGTTACCCCATAATCCGAGTCGCAGTAAGATCGAGTTTGGTCGTAAGCAAACTGTGATCCATCGAGCCATGAACGGATGTTATCCACACAGGTTAGTCCAATTAGAGCTTGGGTGCCGCCACAACCCATACTGCTAACAATCGAAGAGTTAGTTCCAATTTGATCTGAATTAATTGCACCATTGAAATGCAACAAAAATTTCATATTATTGATCCTTGGAGATTTTATTTTATGTCAACTTCACTCGTTGATGTGCGCTGTTTACCTTTCAAAAAGTTGAACTCAGATTCACTTAGAATTGAGGTGAGATTAGCCTCCATTGCCAGGCAAGCATTTTGCGCCTGCGTTCTGGTAAATGTTTCGATTCACGAGGGCCAATTTGGGGTCCTAAAATCGAATGTGATTTAAGTTTCTAGCGATGTTTTACGTAAAAGTAGTAGCACATCTTGTCGTAGGCGACCCATCCGTTCGGACATTCTGAACAGAGTTTGTTTCGAATTTCAAAAATTTCCAAAAGTCTTAAACGCAAAGCTTTGCTAAGTTCTAGTGAAAGAGGTTTCTAGTCAATTTGCAGAACTGATATTACTTCCATCGGGAATAGAACAAATGAACGTATGCAGATCATCACAGGAGACTGATGTCCATTGATAGTCTTGAGCGCTTTCCACAGCACAACTTGCCATTGTTTGTGGGTGACCTAAAAGGTTAACATTGACATTTCACATGTTGTAATACGAAGTTTCTCAAAATACAAACAAGCCTAAGATCATAAACTTGAGTACAAAGCAAGCAAGTTATTCAAAATTCAATCCCAGCCCCACCTGCTTTCCAATTCTGATAAATGAGCGGTGTTCCATCATCATAAATCCATGTTCCGTTCGAATTTATCACACCAATGTACGATTGACTATTCGACCGCAATTGCTAAAAGGGTTTAAAGTATTTTTGAAGATTTTTTTTTACATTGAGCAGCCTAGGATCCGGCAAGCACATTCTCGTAGATGTCATGGATTTTGATGGTTTGGCCGTTAAAACTTCGGCAGATCTGCTTGGCGACGGCGTAGTTTGCTTCTGAATAGCATTTTTACACTCAACAACGCAATCGTTTTGGCTTTCAAAACCAAATCTCAACAATTGAATGTCTTATTGCTTTATCTGACTAAAAAGACGGCGATTAAAATAAGTTATGGAACATAAAACCGACTTGTATTCACCGACTTGTATTGTTCCGTACGGGGCAAACTATTTCTACGTTGAGAATGGAGATTGTGGCTTGGAGTTGGTCTACTATACTCACGTTGGTGAAAAGCGCATTTTCAGTAATTCATTGAAGTTTCTTTTCCTAGCAAGGATTTCCTTTTCCTAGAAGTTTCTTTTCTTTACTTCGATTTAGGCTCTGGCGAGTTATTCGCCAATATTTTTTTGTCAGGCTTGGCCTTGAGCCAATAAGTCAGTTTAGGCGCCTAAGACTTCTTGTGAGTCAAGTAAAACCAAGTCAGGCTTGCTTAAGCTTGTCAGAAGTCTGTCAGGACCTAGCTTTAGGCATGGTCTTGCCTGTCGTGCTCTGGTCGGGGTAAATTGCCCTGTAGCGTACTGAATAATCAGCACCACCGCTGGAATTCACGCTTAAAAACACAAAAATAATCTGTCATCAGTGAAAAGTTTGGTTAAAAGCGATTTGTTGGCAAATTATTAGGTTGATGGGAAAATAATCGAAATTTGGAGCCTCTAACTTCAAGTCCAAAACTAAAAGTCAATAACAAATGAATTTATGCAAAGTAAAAACCATCAGCATCTATACACTGCTGCCAACGCGAAGCAATTTTTCCAATTCCATCAGAATAGAAATTTGGCGTTCTCGAGTCGATAAACTGCTGGAAAGCGTTTTCAGCCTCGCTTTGATTCTTGAACTGTTTATCTTCTAGAAAATGGCACAGCTGCTTGAAAAAGTGGAAATCCGTGAGAGAAAGATCTGGTGAGTAAGGTGGATGACTAAGAATTTCGTAGTCCAGCTCGCTCAATTTTTTGATGGTTTTGGTTGAAAGGTGCGGGCGAGTGTTGTCGTGAAGCAAGATCGGACCTTTCCGATGCACCAAACCTGGATCCAAAATTGGGAATTTTGTATGCATTTTTTCTCTTTCCAAAATATATTGGTCCGAATTCATAGAATTTCCTGTTTTCAAGAAAGAAAAACTTTTTGGGGTAAAAGCGTCGAGGCGGCTGTCAGACGCTGCAGCCTCTGCGAGTCGCTTAATTCTTGCGGGATCCATTGCTTCATCTTCTTTACCTTTCCGATTGATTTCAAATGAGCCAAAATTGTTGAATGATCAACCTGAAGGTCCTGTGCGTATTCTCGAGATGTTTTGGTCGAATCTCCTTCCACCAGTTTTTCCAATTCTTCATGGTCAACTCTGGGAGGCCTTCCTTGACGTTCTTTGTCATGAAACGTCTCATCACTCGAGTGAAATCGCCGAAACCAAAAGGCGACCATACCATAAGAAACACTTCCCTCGCCAAATGCCCTGTTGATACTACTAGTCTCTTCTGTTTCTTTCTGGCCAAGCTTGAACTCGTAGAAACAAAGTGTCCGAAATTGTTCCATGCTCTTAAAACACTCAATTCTTATTCAAAATAAAGATTGATTGTAAAGTAGAAAAAAACATAAAAAAGAAGAACATATATCAATCACAATTAGCTAAAAGTTTAGTATCAATGACGCAAAAGGACTTTTAAAATCAAAGACAAAGTTTGAGTCTTGTTTATTTCGATTATTTTCCCACCAACCTAATAAATCAGTCAATCCACTTGGACAACAAAAATTTGACAAATTATGACAAACAAATTATGTTATTTTGACGTCAGTTCTTTGAAAATTCGATAAATTGAATGGTTGAAATAAAAAGACAATCGCAATTTGTAAATTTAATTGAGTAACAATGTTTTGGAGCCAAAGTACACGGCAATTCTTGTCAGAGAACAAAATATTGCTTCGTCTTTGTACGCCTAATTTGCGCAATCAACGCCAATGATTTACTGGTTCGTTTTTTGAGTTCTGTAAACCATTTTTTACTTTTTTCATTTCCCAAGTTCATTTTCTTGTAACCCTTTTCACTGAGTAATCTTTCATTGAGACAATCACTGACTTTATTGAAACAATGAGTAATCTGTCAATGACTGATGGCCATGAATTCATCTGATCCGTCGGCGCCTCCACCACTTCCACCAGTTAGCCCGGACGAGATTTTATTTGACACACTGTTTATGGCAATTGTAAGTTTGCAAAACTGATCCTGGCCTTGCCTGCAAAACTGATCCTGGCCAAAAAACTGATTTGGAACAACTCTAGTTATTGCATTCCATTTGCATTCCATTTTAACCAAGAAGTTTCAGTGCGGCGCCTTGGGAGTAATCTTTGGTGTTGCCGGGGTGTATGCCGTGAAAAGGAACTCGATTCTTAAAGGTAAAGCGAATTTCAGAATTGCCTTATTATCTTCTAGGCATTATTGAGCACTACGCTTTTGTTGATTTGCTAAACTTGATCTTGATCAATGGATGTCATCTCTTTTGGGGCGTTCCTTGTGCTTTGTGGTGAGGGGTTTTCTCAGAACTTTTTAAAAAAAAGTATAGTATTTAGATCGTTAAGTTTGATTTTTCTTTAGGACATTAAATGAAGTGATCCCATTTCTCGATCATCTCTTCGGCGGTCTAGCTTTCACCGCTCCATCAATCGGTTTCCCGCCAAAAGTAGGAAATTTTTAAAAAGCTTACTGACGTCTTAAAGTTCTACTGTAAATGCGGTAATTGAAGCCCCCGTCCGCCCAAATTTGCAATTATTTTGCTCAAAATTTGCATAATTGATCTCCTTTACACTTCTTGTTCATTTCATGTTTCTGTATTTTTTTACACTTTTTTGTTGAGAACTGTTGTTGTTTTTGTTAAAACATTGAACTTTCCAATGCTTTACAGTTTCTAACTGTTTTTTTAGGTATAATGGATAGTCTTGGCGCCGGATTGAAGAAGTTCCACGACCGCCTGGAATTTGAGCGAGATCTCTTTTAAGAAGACGATTCGAATGGAAACAATGAGGGAAGCGATAGGGATTCAGAATTGATTGAAAGCACGGAGTTGGAGAAGAAAACGAAACGGAAAACGATCGACATCAAGAAGAAACTCGATGTTGTGAAAATGGCTCGATCGACTTCTGCAAAATTTTAAAAAAATTGATCTGAAAAATAAAAAATTTCAATCGAAATTATTGCTTTGTTTGAACGAAAATAAAAACAAGCGCTTCAACTGGCTGATGTTTCTTGGGATGCATCGTTCAAAGCAAAGATCCGACAACAGTATGAGAATTGGTTGTTGACATCGGCTCCGGATTTGACAAGACCCCGAAAAGATCAAACGAGTGGGGCAATCCAAAGCCTCCTTCCATGGATATCTACTTGACCTGACTGCAAATGCTTGGAACACAATCAAGGAGGAAACTATTCTAAAATCTTTCAAAACATGTGGAATCAAACTCGCTTCAAATGGAGATGAAGACCATTTGATTCACTGTTTTAAACCAGACGGTTCGATCTCTACAGGAATTCCCATGCTGAGGATGCTTGTATGGAAAAAGAAATCGACGATCTCCCAGAACCCTTTGAATAGATTCCAGGGTTTTCGTTAAGAAAATGATCCAGAAGAAGCCGATAATTTCGTTGATTCCGATGTTTCGATTGATGTTTATGTCTAGTTTGATGATTTTTAATTTGTTTTTGATAAATTTTGTTAGATTTAAATAGAAGCCACGGAGCTTCAATTCCAATATTTACAATAGTAACCTAGCAGGTCTTGAACTAAAGCGAATAAATGTTAATTTGAACTTTAAAAGCACGTGAACCGCCTTAACACTAGCTCGGATTCAGCTTTTCCTGGCCATGAACCGTTTCTGTGCTCTCTCATTTGATGGGCGTTTCTACAAACGATTTGAAGAAACAAAGATTATTCGATACTCATTTATGATAGCTTATCCACTCGCTACAGCTGCAGTGTATGCGATTCGTAAGTGATAAGTGAAAAGTGATCATTTTCACTTAAACGTCAAATCCTTTAGCTGGTTGTCGTGGTCTTTTATTCCGTACGGGGCAAACTATTTCTACGTTGAGCCTGGAGATTGTGGCTTGGAGTTGGTCTATTATACTCAGGTGGGTGAAAAGCTATTTTCAGCAATTCATTGAAGTTTCTTTTCCTAGCAACTTCGATTTAGGCTCTGGCGAGTTTCATCTTTCTCCCGATCAGCACTTTCCTTGACTGTGCAATCTATTATTTGATGCGGAAACGAATGCGAGCCTTTCAAGCAAGTCAAGCTCATAACAGCAAACACAAAGGAGAACAGTTAAAGAAAGAGTTCAAATTGGCAGCTCAGGTACTTTATGATGCAAATATAAATCATAAAGTCTTAGATGCTCATAAATCTTTGCACTGGAATCCTTCTCACTGCATCAATTACATTCTCGCAGAGTTATTTGGTCACACCTTTGGCCACTTTTCTCGTCTTCACAGCTTTGTGGCAGTTTTGCACGCTGGTGTCAAGGTTTGAGCCTGGATCTTCTATAGCACAATAGTTTTATCGAAAACTAGCAATAGACAGCCAATTATTTATTCATGTTTTAATTGATACTTGCTAAAAATAGCCGATTAATTGAAAATTCAGCATGTCTTACGCAATTTTGCTGCGCGAACGTAAACCGAAAATTTGGGGGTGACAGTGAGCGTCTCCGGAGTGACTCAATCCACAAAATCGACTCGTCGATAAGTTTTCCAACAGGTTTGGCCTAATTTTCACATTTCTAAGTCGATTAGGGGTCGACTTATTTCATTATTTCTTAAAACAATAATGTAGTCTTGACCATTTTGTTAGCTATAAGTAAATTTTTCGCTATTCAATGAAGACAAATTTTTGAATTTGGAGATTTGCAGGATAATTTGAATGAAAATTACAACCAAATTGCAACTTAACCATCTCATTTTCAAAAGCCCAATGCTCACCACCCAAACTTTTTGATCTACTGTTTTTTTAAAATGCTAATTTCTACTGAAAACCTCTTTCATAAAGGGCTAATTTAGGCTAATTCTTTGCTTTTTGAATGAACTTTGGATTTTTTAAATTTCAAAAAAGCAAATAAGTAAATGATCTTTTGAAATGAATATAAAAGGGCAACTAAAACTTGGAAATTTTAGTATTTTGAAGGTAAAATCGAGAAGAGTTGAGTTTTAAAGATTTCACTCGATTTTGACTAACTTACCTTCAGAATTTGATTTTCAAGCCTTTATCTCCTCGAATTATCAAGAAAATTTTCACATCTAAAGGTAAAAAGTAATAAAATCCCTGTTCATTTACCCATTCATCGCCAAAATAATCTAATTTTCTCAATTCTGTAGATTTTTCTAGGGAAATCATTGAGATCAGAAGAAAAAACGAGGTGGGGTAGCCTTTAAAGGCACCTGTCTAAAAGTCTCACCTACTTTTGGGCAATTTTCATAGCAGCTGCATGAATTTATTGCTGTTTAGTGATTGTGATCTTCCGATCCGATTTATGACTAAAGTTTAAACGTATTATTTGTCTTCAGGATCATCACTTTATTTGCTATGTCTGAAAATGAGTGAGAATACAACCGATCCAGCCGAATACCCGGACTATGAGCCGCCGGAAGTCGCTCAAGAAGAGATCCTCTTTGATATACTCTTTATGGCAATAGTAAGTTGAAAGAACGTTGTAGAAAGTGTTTCAAGTGCTAAAATTGATGAAAGAAAGTCCTAGACTTTTTGTGTAGATTTTGATCTATTGTTTATAGCATAGATTTGAAAATTTTTAAATCGTACGGGAAATTCCATTCATTCTCGACGAATTATCAGGCTATCAGGCTTTTGACTACCCGACTTTACGCTCCCAAAAAACTCCAGACATAAGACATTTTAAACCCGTTTTAACACATTCACGACGAGGCGGTGGTCAACCCACATGGTGGGTCACTCGATTTTTTGAGCCTGAGTCGTTAGATCGATCCGAAAATTTGTGAGAATGCCAAATCGATAGTGGGTAATCCAAATTCGGTGTTAGTTTTAAAAAAAACCGCAGACGTCCCGTCTCTCTTTCGAATCTCGTCCCAGGTGGCAGTTTTGTGAAAAACAGTCCCTCGTCGTGAATGTGTTAATGTTATTTTGTCGTAAAATGATTTGCCTTTCTAATGGAAAAAACCATCGTTCAATCGGTGCATTCGTTCTTTTTAAAAGGAATTATGAAAAGGAGCGAAAAGACTTGTTTGCCAAATTGATATATTGTTAAAATGGGTTCCTTCCGGGTCTTTTTTAGTCAGTTTTCAAGTTGGTTGCATCCGCATTTGTTTATGAACGAGCTATCATTTAATCTGAATCCTCTCAGATTTCGCTCTCGTTATTTGAAATCGACAAGTAACTTGTTGGGTTAAAGTCAAATACAGATCACAGATAAATCATGGTTCGTTAAACAAAATTTGTACAATAAAGTACAAAAGATTGAGAATTTTGGTCTAAATCCACATAAATTCGTGTTATAACAAGAACATTTTGGCACAGTACCATTTCTTTTTCAGTTCGGTTTCTTGGGAACTGCGTTCGGCCTAGGTGGATTTTATGTGGTGAAAAAGAACTCGATATTGAAAGGTTTGTGAGAATAAACTTGCTTTTCAACTATAAAATTCTAAGTTTAAAAAGGAAAATATTGTTTAAGGCATTATGGAACACTATGCTTTTGTCGATCTCTTGAATTTAACGATTATCAATGGGTGTCACTTGTTTTGGGCGGTTCCGTGTGCACTTTGGTTTGTTGCTAGACTGTGGAATTCGTAAAGAAAGAGAAACTCAGTTTAGAGAAACTTTTAAAGTGTTTGATTTGTTTTTGAAAGATTTTCCCTATAAACTTTTACCTTTAGGACGGTGAACGAAGCGGTTCCATTTCTCGACAATGTCTTTGGTGGGCTTGCTTTCACAGCTCCATCGATTAGCTTTCCGCCAAAGGTAGGAAAACTGAAAAAGCTTAAAAGATCTGAATCTTGAAACAAATAAACAATTATTCTTACTTTAGCTTTTCCTTGGCATCAATCGTTTCACAGCTCTTGCTTTAGAGGGGCGATTCTATAAAGCGTTCGAAAAGACAAAGATCCTTCAGTACATTTTCATGATTGTTTATCCACTGATAACTGCGGCAGTCTATGCAATTCGTAAGTATTATCTCAACTTTTGATTCAACCATAAAAAGCACTTTATATGCTTGTGACCTTTTCTTGGGTTGACGCTTTAAAGCGTGGTAAAACCACCGTACCCCTCTCAATTTGTAGGTATAAAAGAAAACGCGCAATTTAATTCTCTTTCTGCGCTATTTCTGGACTTAAGTGTCCTCAAGCTGCCCATTCCGATTCTGTCTTCCAGTGACTCTGAAACAACCATGATTTTTTAACTGAACTGAATCAGCAACCTCTAGGTATATAAGGAAAGAGGTTTCTCTATTTTCTGCAAGGAATACGCGAAGTTTCATTTTTTTTCATAAAATCATCTTGCAGTGTTGAGTTAATTAAAGTTCAAAGCATTTTCGGGCAAAAAATAAAGATATAGATGTAAGTTTGTGTAGTTACATTTGTAAGACGATTAAAATTTCGTTCCGATGTTTGGATCTGGCAGTTGCAAAGAAGTTTCTCCATTTTGAATGTACCGATTCCTTCCGCTAAGTTGTTTCGTCACCACTCATAAAAAATAAAAAAGAAAACCACATCGGCAAAACGCAAAAAGAATGAAAGAATGAAATTGCGTGCTTTCTTTTAATGCAAATCAGGTTGTTTTACCATGCTTTAAAACTCGGAAAGGTAGTTTTACCACGCTCGGAAATTCTTAGTTAACTCCCTCTGGAGTAAGGGAGATCATTGTGATGCGTTGTGATGTAATGGTTGGCACCCTTTGCCCGCAAAGCGAAAGGTCGCGGTTTCGAGTTCCGGCGGCGTACAAGTTTTGATTTGCGCCTAGTTCCAACTTCTTTAAGGTCGCAAGTCTTTATCTGCATGCTCTGAGTTATCGTTTTGCTTTTGAGAACTCAAAGAACAAGTCGAATTGAGCTCGACTGCAAATAACAACCTCTAACTGTTGCTGTTCTTGTGTAAACTCTTAAACATTTTTTGTTCAGCCGGCTGTCACGCCATTTTCATCCCATATGGGCAAAATTTTTTCTACGTCGAAGAGGGTGTCTGTGGACCGAATATGATTTATTATACACAGGTGCCTTTTTCAGATTCAAGAGTTATGTTTTTTATTCGACTTCGGGCTGTTTGTAGGCAGAAAGAAGTAATGTTCGGTGGCAAATTGTTTAAAAATACAAGAAGCAAACCAATTAGTGAACAGAAAGGTAAAGAAAAACATGATTTTCGGCGGAAATTCAGCTTCGAATTGGTTTGATTCAAATTTACGATTATCGGACATTTGATACGCGTCCTTTTTCCATTGGCAATCTGACTTTGAGCTCGAATAGCTCGGTGTTGGGCTGCCCAATTTAAACGTACTTGGCATGATTGGATGCGCCAAGTCTTTCTCCGTCGATTGGTACAAAAACTATTTAAATTGGACAGCCCAACACTGAAATAATTGACCTCAATATTAGATTGCAAATGGGAAAAGGGGTGAGGCGCGTATTAAACGTCCCGGTGGGAGATTTGATACGCGCCTTACCCCTTTTCCCATTCCCAACAATCCAAATTTTTAGCTCAAAAGGACTCCAATTAAGTGGCTCAAAGCTGATACAATAAATCATTTCAGGTCCTTGCCAGCTACATCGTTCTTCCAGTCAACACATTTTTCGATTGTGCCGTTTTCTATATGATGCACAAAAGAATCAGCGCTTTCCGGACAGTTCAGTCCACTGAGAGCAAACTGAGACGCGAGCAAACAATGAAAGAATTTCGATTAGCGGCTCAAGTTTGAGTTTTCGTGAAACTTGTACAATTTGCCGTAGATGGTTACAAATCTATGCACTGGGATAATACTGACCGTTTCGATTGCGATTGCCGAGAATTATCTTGCTTCAACAATTGCCACTTTTTTGGTGTACACCGCTTTGTGGCAACTTTGCACATTGATAACGAGGTACTGAAAAAGAATAATACAGAGTGACCCACAATTATTGTGGGAGGGCCTAGATTGGCCTTCAGAGGGCCTAGATTGGCCTTCAGAGAGCCTAGATTGGCCTTCAGAGGGCCTAGATTGGCCTTCAGAGGGCCTAGATTGGCCAAAATTGGGTCAATCGTTTTGATTTTCCTAGAGGTAAGTCTAAAGAATGTCTCCTGCAGCGGTGCTCAATCTAATTGATTCAAGCTTTCAACTTTTTCATATGGCCATCCAAAGTTGAAAGCCGAGTTTCGCTCGACACGCTACTCATTTACGGGTTTTTTTTACTGAAAATTTAGCATGTCTTACGTTATTTTCCTGCGAGAACGAAATCAAAAGGATCTCGGAGTGACGATGACCGTTTCAAGCTCGGACAATCAACAAGGAGCCTGGGCGACACCAAGGAGTTGAGGTAATTTTCAAAAAAAGACATGAAACTCACTCCCGTAAACCCAAAATATGTAATATGTGCTCTCAAAAATTGCCCAAAAAGATTTCATTTGAAAAGAAAATGAAAGGAATTTTGATGCGGAAGGTAAAAACTGTGAGAAAAACGATGAAAGATTCCCATGAACTACAAAAAAAACACTTTCTAATCCAAGGACATCAAGTTTCCACGATAGTTCGCTAAGTTCGTCAGTTTCTAGTTTTGAAATGATTCAATGAATACTACTCAACTGAATAGTTACCTTGAAATTGGCTTGATGACTTTGGTAAAGAGTTTTGAAGAGTTTCGATATGAAAAGTTTCAGTTTGGTGGTTTCGGTACAATCTTTGGTCTTCTTGGTATCATTGTTGTTAAACGGAATTCCTTTTTGAAAGGTAAAGTTGTGGAATTGTTTGACTTCTTAAGTTTTAGGTATTGTTAAACACTATTTGTTGATCGATTTACTCAATTTGGTGATTATAAACGGGTGTCATTTGTGTTGGGGAGTGCCTTGTGCGATTTGGTGAGTTGCATCTTGAAATTCTGGAATTGTTGGCGCAAAAAAAAAAGCAGACACAGTAAATGTTCTAAATGTCAACAGATTTGTACAACCATAAACTTGATATTGCTGTGTGATTAAATGCAGAAGGTCAAACGCTTTGCAAGCAATGCAACCAAGAAAAAGCAAATCCAATGCTCAAACTTCAGCCCTGGGTAATTAAACCATAACAAAACAAACAAGCAAAACCATAACAGACAGAAAACTGGTAGCGGATAAAAATATGGGTACATAAGCACTCGCAATTGGTGTCTATTAGGTTTAACGGAAGGAAATACAGAGTGATCCAAAACTATGGCAATCAGCTTTTAGAAAACTATTATTTTCCAAAAAACTTTCTACAGAAAGTAGCATGTATTATATACTATCTGAAAGCTCTAATTCTCAGCATCATTAATACATTAAAGATTTTTTGGCTAGAGCTAATTTTTGACCCTTACTGGCCGCAAGCACCCCACATCTGCCATTATTTTGTGGTTTTGAATGTAAGAAGTCTTTCGAAAAGATTGTTTTCAACCGACTAACCTTTTTTCAACTCTCTCAGTTCAAAACAAAGACAAAACTTAACCGAGCATGTGCAAATACATTGTTAAAACGAAATCACAACTTGCTGCAAACCATCATTTTACGGCGAGTAGTGAAATTCGCGTTTTTCGGGATGTCTAATTGATTGAGGCACTTTTGGCTTGTCGTTTGGTTTTAAAGTATAGAATTAAATTAATTTTGATAAAATATGTACAAATTTGATTGTATTTCCTGTTCTCGGACGAACTTTTACTTAGAAAACCACGAGAAATGGCAAATCGCCGTGGGGTGCTTGCGGCGAGCTCATTCCGCAGGCCAGTAAGGGTCAAAAATTAGCTCTTGCCGAAAAACCTTTAATCTATAGGGTCAATGCACATGCTAGGGTTTAATATTAAATTCGGTTGAATAGCGCCTCTTGAAAGAATACTGATATTTCATGTGCATTAACCCTATATTAATGGTTAATTAGAGCATTAGAGCTTTCAAATGGTATTTTATACATGCTACTTTCTGTAAAAGTTTTTTGGGAAAGAATAGCTACCAAAAACTGGTTGCCATAGTTTTGGACCGCCCTGTACATATGACGAGTAGCTGTGTTCGTGAAAGAACTCAACTAGGACGACGGTAATCCTATCCTAAGCGCGCAATAGTGATGATCTATTCTTATTGTTTGTTTTATAAATTTATATCCCTAAATATAATCTTTATAAAACTTCTTTCAGGAATCTCAATGAAAACTTTCCCTTTGTCGACTATTTCTTCTCAAGTTTAGCCATGTCAGCACCTTCAATCGGCTTTCCGCCAAAGGTTTTAGCAATTCAAAAAGAATGAACTTTAGTTTTAGATTTTCTTGGGTATCAATCGATTCCTAGCAATCGGCTTTGAAGGTGCTTACTTCAGTAAATTCGAAAGAACACAATTCATTCAATATTTTGTTATGTTTGCTTATCCACTTTCCACTTTGGCTCTTTATTCGCTTCGTCAGTTTGAAATAGGGCTAAAATTTTGGCTAAAATGTAAATTTCAGCTACTTGTCATGCCATTTTCGTTTCGGGTTATAATATTTTCTTTGTGGAACATGAATGTGGACAAGAAATTATCTATTATACACAGGCTTGTGGTGAAATCTTGACAAAACTCTGAAACTCAGGTGCTAGCTGGTTATATCTTCTTCCCAGTGAACACATTCTTTGATGGATCGGTTTTTGTGATGATGCATCGACGCATTCGTGCTTTGCAAGCAGCTCAACATCATCCGAATAGTCATTTGAGAGCCGATCAACTGAGGAAAGAGTTCAAATTGGTTTCACCGGTGAGTGCAAGATTGTTTAGCCGAGACAGGTAGACTTTTGTCTGATCAAGACTCTGGATATGGCCATGATCAGACCAATCTAAGCTAGCTCAAGTTGAGATCAAGTTGAGATCAATTTTCAAACCAATACCAAGTCATGAAGATGTAACAGACGTCCAAATAGTACTGGATAAATCAGGTCTAGTCCAGGCTAGGTCCAGGACTAGTTATAAGCTTTGAGTAGGACTAGGCAGGTTTAGGGTAGTGTGCTAAATATTTAGCACTGCCGATTACATTCAAGATTACAAATTTACATCCAAAAGTGGTTCGAAAGTAAGAAAACGTGAAACGACTACGGAAAAGTACAAATTTCGCTCGATTGTCGTCTCGTCTGAGTCCCTTTTTCTCCCCCAATCTTGTTACATCTTGTTTTATTTTGTTCATTTCCTCACTGTTAAGTCATTGTTAAATACCAGTTAAATCAGTTAAATTGTTGCTTAAGTCCTGTTTCAAACAAATCTTGGTTCATTTCGCTCGAATCCTTGAGCATTTTAGTCCCGTTATTGAATTCGTGCAAGTAACCCACTGGGTTCAAAAGTAAAGGAACAAATAACAAATCAAAATTGTGGTTGATTAACCGAAATTTGTACGATAAGGTTGAAAAGACTGAAAGTCTTGATTCAAATACACCATAAACCCATGTTAAGACAAGAACTTTTTTGGTACAGGTAGATCCAGGGCAGGGCGGTCCTTCCGATGGGGACAGAACTTTTCACGCATCCTGTACATTGTATTATCATACTTTGAATCCCAAAATATCCGCCATTGATGTAAATGCTGGGAAGGATTAGTGCGGTTGGCGAATGGAATTGGATTGATCTTGAGTTATTATATTTGTAGCGGCCTACTTCTGGCCATGCCCAGGCGCTAGACCAGGTATCAGGCTAACAATAAGTTCAAACTCAGGCAAGCTAGAGCAGCGCATTTTAACCAGCTAGAGGTCCAAACCAGATACCAGATTAGGCAAGGCGGACCAGGCAAAGCTAAAACCAAAAGTCGTTTTTCCCGCTAACCCTTATATTGTTAATCATTCAGATGCTAGTCAATCTGATCATCGGGATCTTTTTAACGGTGACGAGCACGATTGGCGGATATTTTGTCGGCACCTCATCGCTTCTCAGTTTTATTATCTACACGGCAGTGTGGCAAGCCTGTACATTAGCATATTGGTAAATTGATCTTGATTTATAATACTGAAATGCCTAAATTTCAGTATTTCCTATGTGATTCTACTCAGAGATCGAAAGCCGAGTCATTCTCAAACAGTGAGAGTCTTGAACGTTTCGAATCTTTCTTCAACGCGGATCACTCATTAAACTGAATGAATAAATGATTTCTGCAATAACTGCAATTTGTGTTTGTTTATGTACTTTTTAAGGTTACTCCTAGACCAAAATTTCTTGGTCAAGTTAAACCAAAGCTAGGCCAGTGTTGCTTGGACCTGTCCTAGTCAGATAGGTCTGATACTCGTGCTGGCCTAACCTAGACCTGGATCTGGTAGATCTGTTACTAGACCTGACCCGGGCCCAGTCGATGGGTAAGCATTCAAAAAGGATTCAAACTTGTCATGCTCAAACAAAGGTGAATGCCAAAAACTTTTGAAGTTTGAAGATTGAAGATGAGGAACTTTTTTCTCTTGCTCTTTCTTCTCAAACTCTTGAACTATGCTTTGAGTTCAAATTGTGCTAGTTGAAGCGAAAAATGAAACTCTTATACGAACTGCTGATAAAATATTTACATTTTTATGGACAATTTTTTTCTAATCTTGTATTTGCAATTGTTACTTGGGTAATGGAACTGGCTTTAAAAACCGGTTTGAAATCAGATCAAATCTAGAGAGTTCCTTTTGATCTCTGTACTAGTGAGGTCAACTGCTAAAAGTTCGACCAAGAGCAACATTTTGGATCATTTTTGTGCACAAAAACATGAAAACAAACACCACCAGTCAGTTTTGCTCGCTAAACGGAACACTTTCAGGGAAAAAGGAAAAAAAATTGATAAAAGGCTTGTTTTCTTGTGTTAGTCGTGCAAAAATCATCCATTTGAACTATTTTCTATCATCCTTTATCCAATGTAGCTCCTCTTGCTATCAATATTCATCTTTTCCAGATTTCTTTTGGTGAGCAATGCCTGGATTATCACCGATCAACATATTCTTGATGATTTTGGGAATGATCAAGGGTAAATTGAAGAATCACAAACGAAATCAATGCTTTTTGTCGTTTCTATAATAGTTCGCAATAAATATTTTTACTTAGCATGACAAAAGACAAAATTTAAACTTCAAATGCATAAAATTTTCTCAATTTTGTTGAAATCTGGACTATTTACAGATTTTTTGTCTGCCGATGTGTTTAAAAATTGCTAAAACTGTTTGCTTTTCATTTTTTGCAATACATTTTTAAGTCTTTCAAGTCATGAACATTGTGCTTGTCTGTTTTGTCTTGCATAAACTTTAAACACGTCTTTCATTACAATAATTTGTTTTTTAAGAAGGACTCACAGCTACATTGTATTCCAGGTTGGCTGGAGGCGAGAGACCTGGAGTTACCTCCAGGTCCAGCCAGTTCTACACTATCATCTTTGCCACGTTGTCCATATTTTCCATCCAATCCAGGTTGTCTATCCTTTCCATCCAGACTGTCCATCTTTTCCATTCGTTCCAGACTGTCAATCCTTTTCCACCTTTCCGGGTGGCTCTTTGGGTCCTTGGGGTCCTGGGGATATGGAGATGGGCCCGGTGGCGAGTAAATTGGTTCAGATTCCGGGGCAGGCGCATAGAAATAGTGTAACTGTAATCAGGGTATAATTATTCTTTGTACAGGTAGGATTATTGCAACCAATGTTTTTTAAGGATAGAAACCGATAAAAGAGAAACTTTAACAAATGATTTTCAAATTTCAAATTCAAAACAATTTTAAAGATATATTAAACAAGAAAAACTACTTCCTTTTAAAGAGATCTTATAATCGAGGCCTGGTGTTGGGAAATACATTCACCGTGACCTGGTAAACAAGATCGAGTTTATCACATGCTTTTTGAAGAGGTTGCTTAAGTGATCGCCCAGACGGCGATCGCCCAGACGCCCAGACGATCGCCACCAATCTCGAATCGACATCGACACCATCGACAACACCATCGATAATCTCGAATCTTGGATCAAACTCTAGTACATCGTCTAGCTCAAAAACCAGTACCAATTCTAGCACTGCCTATCTACAGTCTCTAAAACTTATTTGCAGAGGCTTCGGGAAACTCTTCGAGAGATTTCTGGAACTGCCTGACGACGAGAAATGTTGTTTATCCCAAGGCAGATCAGTGAAATCTTGATGGAGGCAAAACTTTTCCACAAAAGCTACCAAAAGTAATCCGTAACCCTTTGAGAAACCGAGCTTACTGTAGCTTTGTAATCAATAAAACAATTTTCAAATGCTACCTTCGTGATCCTCACTGACACAATTAGTATGGCACTAGTTTTAATTCTGATTGAACTGTTTTCAAAAGACTACCTTATCATGTTATACAGCTGTGGCGAATTGCCACTGCTCTGCAGTTAGTCAAAAATTCAATACAAGTTAAAATTCAAAGTTGATGGATAAACTACCGTAATCAGTCACTAGATGATATTCAGCTGTCCGGTTGTTGTAGCTTGTATACTTAAAAAACCCATTATTTAAGCTTTGCTTTTGAGTGAGTTTGTTGTTCTCCTTTTTTGTTCTTTATCATTCTTTTTTCACATGCAAGTGTTGAATTAATTGTGATAGTGACAAGTTGCTCCAGTTTGAGCGAAGTTGCCCTAATAAGGGAAAGTTGGATAAATTGTGCGTTTTCAAGAAGACCACTATTGAACCACATCGAGACACGGTCTCACAAGAAATTATATAGATCAAAACATCAACATATATTTCTTACAACAGCTTATTCATGGCCATTCAGTGAATCATTTTTGTTTATCTTTCTGCAAAAATAATTTTTTTCACGTTTCTATGGCTTATGTACTCAAAGGAGTGGGGGGAACAAGGAACAACAAAGTGCGCGTTTTAAGTCTCGTTATCTTTTATAACGAGCGGTAAACTGGTCTCCTGTGTGGCGTTCAGTTTTTTACCAATGTCTTATCTGATATTTTCCCAATGTTCTCCGTTATTTAGGTAATTTTTTGATTTTGTTTTGGTTTTGGTTTTTCTCTTGGACTTCCTAGTGTTTTAGTATATTAGGTTCCATGCATATCCACTTAGTCCCCGATTTCTTTTAATGTTTCACACCGTTATTTAATTGTATTGTTTGATCGTGCTCCACCTGTATAAACCACTATAAATATGTATGAAAAACTTTAGAGCGTCATGGCATCCAATGCGACGATTGAGATGCCTTGTCTCGGGCGACCTTTTCATCCGGGAATGCTGTATGATTGTCGAAGTGATCACCTGCTCCCAGCTATAACTCTATGGAATCCAGATAAGTTAGCTAAGGCTATTAGGCAAGAAAACCAGCCTTTCAGCCATAATGACATGATTGTTGAAGATACAATCAAAGAGAAATCCTCCCAACTTGGTGTTGATGCCTCCCTAAAGCTCAGCTTGCTAGGTGGTATGTTTCACGTCGAAGGCTCGGCTCACTATTTTAACGATAGAAAACGCTCAAACAAGCAATGTCGAGTGAGCCTAAAGTACACATCGACCTCACGCTATGATCAGCTATCAATGGGCCACTTTGGACCCGGGGATGTTCAACACCCGGAAGTTTTTGATAGAGGCGACGCAACACACGTGGTCACAGCCGTTTTGTATGGAGCCGATGCCGTGTTCGTGTTTGACCAAGAAGTCAACAGCTCCGAGGACATACTTGAAGTTGGTGGCGGTCTTAAGCTTGCGGCAAACATTATCATCCGCTCGATTGAAGGAGAAGCCAAGGTCAAATTCAGCAAAGGGGAAAAAGAGACATACAGCAAAATTCACTGCCACTTCCACGGGGACTTCAGTCTTGAACAAAATCCGCGAAATCTCCTCGAGGCTATAAACGTCTACCACCAGCTTCCGTCGATCATCCAAAAAAATGGCCCGGTACCCAAGAAGGTATGGCTCTATCCGTTGGCCAAGCTGGACAACAGAGCAGCAAAATTGGTGCGAGATATTAGCCATAGCCACGTCGCCGAAGTTGAGATGGTGGTGGAGGCGTTGTACGAAGCTGAAAGAGGCGTAAACGATCTACACGACGTTTGCCACTCAATGTTTGGCGGGTTGAAGCGACAAGCAATCGAGTTCAAACAACTGCTCACCGAATTCAATCTTGATCTGAAAAAGAAATTATTGCCAATTTTGCCGAAAATTCGAGGAGGTGGGGCAAGCGAGCAAAAATTGGTCGATCTGCTTGAACAAGTTCAAAAGTCTCCTTTTGCTCCAATCCACCTCCAACGATGGATCGAGAAGAAAGAGAACGAAGTTAACATGCTCAACTATGTTATTGAGCAGCTGAAAGCGAAATTGATAAAGGCCGACCATAACAACATCGCCATTACCCAAAACCAAGCAGAAACGCAGAAAATCTTTCAAAACTTTGACAACGACTTGGTGCTTGGGCTGGTTTTTAATGTTGGAGGAAAACCGGATTCGGTTATGAGTGAAATGAAAAAGTATCTTTGTTCACAAACTTCTGGTCCCTTCGCTGACGATATTGCAAACTTGTTCCAGGAAACATGTTCATTCACAAATGTGCGACAAATTTCCGTAAAATTCATTAGGTTTGTAGACCTCAACTTGGGCAACAAATCGATGCAGTTCGTCGTGCATGCCGAGGATTCAAGCGACGGAAATCTCCATGTACACACACAGCTTCACAAACTATCCGAAGGAAGCAAGCGCGAATTCGATTTACCTTCCACCCCCGGAAAACCAAAAGTTACAATGCAGCCAAGCTCCGATGATCCCAACAAACTTGTGGGTAGAGTTTTGTGGGATCCCCCTAAAGAAGGCCTTAAAAACGTGTTGCATTACAAGGTTCAATACATGATTCGTTCTGCGAAAGCTGACTGGACAGGATGCAAGGAATGGATAGTAAACCCAGGAGATACTTTCACCAGCACAAAAATTCAATTAAATAAAACCTACATCTACAGAGTTTGTTGTTTGTCTGAAGCTGGCGAAAGCGACTACGGAGAGATCAGCGACCCCGTATTGGCTATACTGCCTGACAAATACTGCCTGCCGACTGCCTGCCAAATACTGCCAAATGAGTTCTCTGAAGAAAGTGAAGAATTGGAGGAATCTGATGAAGAATCTCTGACTGAAGAAGAGCAAAACGATGAGCCAACAAATGAACTTTTCAAGGCTCAATCTGAACAGCACACTGGCACCAAGCAAGAGCTCAACATTCTTGTTCTTGGTGAAACGGGAGTCGGAAAATCGACTTAGATCAATGGAATCGCGAATTACATGAGCGTTGACACACTTGAGGATGCACTCAACGCTCGACAACCGATTTGCCTTATTGCCAGCAAGTTCTCTTTCTACGAGACAAATGAGACGAAGATTGACGTGAAACTTGAGCCATCGCACAGCGAGAAAGACGAGAACGAGACATTCTCCGATGAGGGTCAATCTTCGACACAAGAACCGAAAACGTACCAATTTGAGACGTCCAAGTACATTGTGAATATCATTGATACTCCTGGAATTGGAGATACTCGTGGAGTTGGGCAAGACAAAGAGAATACAAGAAAAATTCTTGGCGCTATTGGACAGTACAAGCATTTGCACGCAATTTGCTTTCTCTTCAAGGCCAATGAAGCAAGAATGACGTTGAGCTTCAGATATTGCATCAGTGAGATCTTACTCCAACTCCACAAAGACGCTGTTGACAATATTATCTTCTTCTTCACAAATGCTCGTGGCACTTTTTATAAACCCGGTGATACGATGACTCCACTAACCGCTTTTCTCCATGAATTGCACAAGGAAAGAGGACTTCGAATTGCACTCACAAATGATAAAATCTATTGCATGGACAATGCAGCTTTTCGCCTTATCGGTGCACATTTCAATGGAGCGAAATTCACCAAAGAGGGCTTTCAAACTTTCGATTACTGCTGGAGACAATCAGCTGCTGAAACGCATCGCTTGATTGAGTTCACCGCTCGTCAGCGGCCTCATCAGGTTGCTGATACGGTTTCGATTAACAAGGCAAGGACGATCATTTTTCATTTAGTGAAACCATTGGCCGATGTGAATGAGTTGATCGAGTTGAATATCAAAGTATTTGATGAGAGAAAGGGAGATCTCCAAAATACAGCTGCAAATTTGGATGATTTGAAGAAAAAGCTTTTGATATCACAAATTGGAATAGAAGTCAAGCCGACTAGTGTCCAAGCCGAAGAAAAAAACACGAAGACTCTCATTCAACAGAAACAAGACGCGAGTAAAGTGAAGGAGAAAATGATTCGGGATTGTGAGAATACAATTGATGAGTTAAAGAAAGAACAACAGAAAATCATCAGAACTTCTCTGCGATTTGAAGGCTTTTTGCAAGCCAATGCCATCCTTCCCTACAATGACGCCTTCGAGAAATACGTTGAGCAAACAATTTCGGAAGAGGAGAAATGCACGGATATTGGTGGTGATCGATCGAAATTGAATAATTTGAGAAAGCTTTTGGTTGAGTATCGACAAGAGAAAGCTATGCTGATCGAAGCGCGGAAGAATCCGATTGCAAATGGAGGGAATACGATTGCTCCGGATGAGATTGAGGTGATGAAAGCGGGATTGTTCGGGTTGAAATACACGGGGAAAATTCTGAAGAACTTGTTTGCTGCGACGGAAGACGGGCTGGCAAAAAATCAAGAACATGTCACGGTTAAATACTCACCACGAAAGCAAGTTCAACCGGCAAAATTTGGGAAGTACAGGCAGAGGGCCGAGAAAGAGATGTGGGTTTAAAAGTTGCTTGTTACTGTGGTTCTTGAAACCAAATTTGCATTTAAAAGCTTGCAGTATAATTAAGAATTCTTAGATAAATGAGTCAAAGTTTCACAAGTTAATCTGCTTAAAATTTTGGGCACTGTAAGATCGATTCAATCAATTTTAGTCTAAACTGATTGAAACTGATTAAACTGAAAATGAAACTTAAAATAAACTTTTCGGCTCCTCGCTGTTTTACATGGCGCTGTTTTGGCCACAGGGTTGCTTTGGTCGGCGCTGTTTTGGAATTGACCCACTGAGCCTTGTGATTCCTCAACGAATGATACCAAAATGGAGCTGATGAAATGCGAACTGACAGTTTAATTATAATAGTTTTCTACAAAACGTATCCTTAAGAAACGCATTACTCACAAGGAACATACTTCAGTGTTGATTATGATAAAGTACATCTTCAGTAAACTTTTACACTCGAGTTTTCAGCCCTGTGCCTTCGAGCAGTGGACGGAAGGAGCAACAGCAAAAAAACAACAAAAACAAGTACAAGAAGAACGGGAACAAGAGAAACTAGAACCATTTCATTAAGTTGTGTTTTTTGTTCATTGATGTTCTTTAACTAGCAATCATTTCCTTTTATCACAAACCTTTGTTTCTTATTCATTCATTTCTTATCAATAAATTTCTCTTGGTAACTCTTTTGGCTGGTTTCAGAAACGGTTTGGTCCGTTTGCTATCGAAAACTTTTTATTCTGATGTTTAGTCTAGAAATTTAGTTGACTAAGGTTTGAGAGCATTTTTTTGTGGAATGGTCTCTAGACTACCTTCCTCTAATGACGCACAAGGTGGGCAACTAAACCAAGGAAATTGTTCATAAACGTTTGCCATTTGGCACACTGACGAATTCTGATCACAAGTTAGAATTCAATAACAATAAGTTATCTTTTTTAGATGATGCGACTTCTCAATTTCCCCACGCTTCACCGGTGCCGATGTAAACTGATGACATTGAGCTTGAAGCACCGACTTTGGCTGAGCAACAGGCAAATTTTAAGCGATTAGTGCAAAAATTCTTAGCCCAACCAGAATATCAGCCGCTTATTATAAAAGATTAAGAGTAAATTAAAAAAATAGAATTTTTCAGAATTTCCCGGAACAAATGGAAGAAATGGATGCTTCAAATGGAGTTCAAAGGAAAAACGGTTGCAATCAACACTTCGATACTTTAAGTGTTTTTGTTAATCGACATAATAGTTGGCTTTAGTTTGCAACTTGCTTAATCTTAATTTAGGCTCAAGGATTTTTCAGGGAAGCTTCATTTGATGAGACTCCAGTGAGATTTATTCGAAAATTATAACTAAGCAATTTTAGCCACTCGCCAGAAAATCTGATCCTGATCAACGAAACGCTGTCGATTCGCTCAACGGACACCAAGATGTGAATTTGATTCGTAAAGCCCAACTGAACGCCCACAATATCAACGCCTGTCTACAAGATCTATCACCCGAACAAGATTACGGAGCGCTTGCAAAGAATTTTTTTTTCAGTTTGTTTTTCCTTTTAAGACCTTACTTTCTCATTTTCTTGTCATAATAATTGTTTCTTTTTTCGGATACATCATTAATGACCGGATCAATCAGCACGAGCACAAATATAGATTTCATGAGGTTATGTTTTTATGTGGTTGTGGTTTAAGCGTGAAAGTTTAGTTTTTATTCGATATCATCAACCCAATGGATGTCAAGGACTATGGTTTAGATGAAAAGTGTGTAAAGGTATGTTTGTTTAAAAATTATGAAAACAGATGCATCAAAAAAAATAAGTAGCAGTTAACAAAATTTAATTAAGGGAGCAGTAAACCTTTGTCAAAAAGTAGAACGCGTTGTGAGTATGTTCTTGCCGCATGTAGAAAAAAATTTCGAGTTCGTCCGCGCATTTAATCCTCTTACAGACTCGTGCAAGCCATTCCATTATATAAATGGTTGTGCTTTTTGCTTAGTTCCGGTTGTGCTTTTTATAAAAATTCACATATTTTATTTTTTGTTTTCTATCCTGATCTCTGATCACCTACTCTAGACTTTCCTTTTTAAAAAGGAAAGTCTTTTTTTTCAGTTGAATGATAAAGTGTCAAATGTTTCTCGAGTGAGCAGATGTGTTCTTGAAACGTTTAGAGAGATCAAATGGGCCTAGGAGTCAAGAAAACAAGAAGACCACCATTTGAGGGATGAAATGAGAACAAAAAAGACAAGAACCAGAACAAGGAGAATAACGATCATTCAGCGACTTCAGAAAAACAAGTCAATGATCAGATTCGGGAAGAAGAAGCAGAACGAGTTCTATATTTTGAGTAAGATATTTAAAATGGTAAAAAAAACCATACATATAGCATCCAAGGGAATCTTATTTGTCTTTTAATTAGATCTTAAATCAAAGATCCCAAGCTTAAAATGTTTCCAGATTTATTGTAGATATTAATTCAAGATCTTTTGTTTGATTATATCTAGACTTAAAGTTAAGCTTTAGAGTGATTTCTAGGAAATTTGACAGAGTTTTTAGAGATTTTTATTTCAAAAGCGATATCTTGTTATTCGAAAAGTTAAAAGTTCTCAAGTAGAATCTCAAAAAACGTTTGAAATGATAAGTTAACGGAAAATTAAATTTTCATCAATATCAGTAAAGAGGTTAATTGGGAAATCGAACGGAGACGGGCGATTAGAGGGAGGAAAGTAGAGAAAGAGTGCAACTAATGGGATCGAATCGGTTGCTTTCTCTTCGAAAAAGCTTCCCGACTCGTGTTTGTCGTCGTTTCTTTTGTGGCCCTCTCCTCGGACTTGTTTTCTGGTCGCTTTCGAAGTAAGAAAGCACAGAGAATACTAAAATGTTATTGTTTTCAGTTTAAAAAAAAATTTTTATTTTGTATACCTGCCTACGAAGTTCAGCAAGAAATCCTTGAAACGGGGAATGAATTCGAAGACAATGTATCCGAGATTTCCACCAAAGAGACCAGAAACAAGACTAGGAGCGAGAAAACGGAACAGGTTGAAGAACAAAATGATGATTGAGTGGATGAGCATCTGGAAAGAGAATACCGTAAATTCTCTCCAATTGAAGTGCCAAAATAGGTAATGAAACCACTTTTCATCGGCAATTGTACCAAAAAATGAGTATATGTGGGTTTTTGGGGACAGTCGTGCAAGAGCACAAAGTTCCATGGACATTAGTAAAAATTTTACTCATAAACGCTTCCTATCTGGCATACCCCAGGTCGACATATACTCGCCGCCGTTTCAGTTGCCCAAGAAAAGCAGTTTAAACACCCACTTTGGGACCTCGCAGTATACTTTTAGAGAATCGCCCCAAGTGTTCCCATTGAGTGTCCCCATTGCCAATGGCAATCGTGACTTTGAACGCGTGTTTCTCGTGATCGGCTTACCCGATTTTTCTATTTTTAGTTTCATTCAATAGAAAACCTCATTACGAGTCGAATGGTAGCAAGAATATGCAAAGCGGATGAACCGGTAAAAGGAAAACCCCAACATACAAATGTGGTTTTTTTTCTTTAAAAAAGTGCCCTCATTTGTATTTTGGGGTGTTCCCCTCACCGGTTCATCCGATTTGCCCATTCTTGATACCCTTCGACTCGTAATGAGTTTTTCTATTGAATGGAACTAAAACTAGAAAAATCGGGTAAGCCGATCACGAGAAACACGCGTTCAAAGTCGCGATTGACATTGGCAATGAGAGCACTTGGGGAGCACTTGGGGCGGTTCACTCAATGGGAACACTTGGGACTAAAAGTATACCCCGCAGGACTATTAGAGAGTATACGGTAACCGTGGAAAGCTCAGTGTACTAACCTGTTTCATCAGCAAACTCTCCGCCCGACTCGCCTTTCCGTCTTTTCTCAGCTAAAATTGGACTTTCAGGTCTCGAGACATTGGCGAAGACTAAGTAAACGTTAAATGTTTAGAAGACTTCGAAGTAAACCTAATCACGTTGAAAATAAACCTGTTTAAGCCTTCTACTTGTTGAAAAATCCAATCCGCACATCAAAAACTGGGGAAAGAGGGTCAAATAGTTCCATATCTCCCATGTCTCCCGATAGTCAAATCTCCATAAATAGAGAATATCAAACTCTCCATAGATCGCCCAATTCTTTATACATCTCTCGGAAAAAATCAACCCGATTTTCAACAGATATGGAATCAATAATTGAATCAATGGCCATTTTCGAGTGTATCGAAAGTAGAGACCGTCGAAGGAGACGGCCATGAAACGACTGAAGAATGGATAATTGGTTCATAACTTTGACGAACCTAGGGATCTCCAACTAGACATACCATTTCCTTCAACAATAAGAACAATAAGAATCCTTGGCTAGCTAGGAGCATAATGTCCTTTGAAGGCTTGTTTTTAACCAGGTTACCTAACTTTGTTTGAGTTCATTATGTTCACTAAGGAGAATCAAGAATTTAAGTTGTTCTTCTAGCTCTTCCTTCCGTTATTTTATGGTCCATAAACTTTCCGAAAGTTTCAAAAAACACAAATTGTTCTTTCAACGTTTTTAGAAATGCCAAGGCCTTTTATCCCTATTTCGGTGATCCGAAAAGCACAAAAAAAGCAAAAGAATCACAGAGGGGATTCAAAACCGCAGTGCAAAAAGCGAATAGTTTTGTATACAAGCATACTAGACATGGGCTTCGGGTCGGGTCGGATCGGGTCGACTCGAAACTCAATTTTTTCGGATCGAGTCCGGTCGGATCGACCCGCAACGACCCGATTGCCCATGTTTAAAGCATACTACCCACTATACCACCAAGTGCATTTTGTGTGAAGGGCGGAAAAGGTTTCTAGCATTCCACTTACTTTAGTGAGATCATCAACTGACAATAAAGGGCAATGTCTAGAAGATTAAACGTCTTGTCCAGGTAGAAAACGCCGTCATTCATAAAAGCACACAGTTTTCGAGAGATTCTGGAGACAATTTCGAGATATTTCCAAAACTAGAGATCCCACCGTTTATCATCAATCTTTACATGTTCACAAGCCCAGTTGCTAAAAGAGACGAGGCAATAGAGAAATTTGTTCGCGTTCTCCAGGCAGGCGAGTAGCCTGAAAAAAGCATCCAATCAATCAGGTAGATGGCCTATTAAAACTTGTTTCATGAGTTCTTCCTACATTTTTCCGTTTAAAACTCTGATAATCCCTGTTACAGAAATGTATTTTCTTCTTTTTTTTTCATTCTAGCCAACTGTAGACTAAAAAAAATCACCTTCGCACTCAAGTTAAACCTGATTTTTCTTTGTTAAAGCTCCTTCGCTTCAAAAATTACCGAATTGACACCGTCAACCGGTCGTTTCTCGCCGATAGATAAGCGGCCAATGCTGTGGTAAAGAGACTCAAGAATTGTACCTGAAAAAGAGATACAGAAAATCTAAAACAACTTGTTGTACATGGTGACACGAAATTACGGAAACTGTGGTGGCGCTTTTTTTCTTAATGGTTATAAGGGCAGTTTTCAAATTTTTGGCAGTTCTTTCTGTTTTTCTTGTCAATTAAGATTTTGGCAACATCTTATTTGCTTTTATTTTTGAAATTTCAGAATGGCGAAGAAATTGGAGCACCGGATTCGATCATCAACTTTTACAAACGGGGAATGAGGCAGAAAAGCATCGCCAGTCAATTGATGTTAGCCAATTCTGTTGTTTCAAAGACAATTCAACGCTACAAAGCCTTGGGAACGAATTCCGATCGACCAGGACGAGGTCCAAGGACGGCAGACAATAAAGGAGACGGTGAAGAAATTGCGCGAGAGCCTACGCTACAAAGGAACCCATTTCCAACGAAAATTAGCCTCAAGAATGGGTATCTCAAGACGTTCGATGGTATTTGATTTCAGTGTTTGGAGCCTCCTAGAGTCCAAGGCATGCTCTAAAGCTCATTCAACTATTGATTCTTTGAAAAAATCTCTTCGAAAGGCTTGGTGTGAACTCGATGTCGCCTATCTTTTTGCCATCGTTGATGCCTTTTTGCGCCGTCTCTAAGCATATCGCAGCCAAAGAAGATCTTTTAAAAAGGACTACTTTCCTAGTTTTTTGTGATATAAAAAATAAATTTGTTACCTAGAATCATTGTTAACAACAAACAGTGGCTATTAAACCAGAAATATATTGGTTTCCGTAATTGCACATCACCATGTATTTTTAAATTTTGCTAAGCAAAACTATACCGCTGTTCCAATATCGTACAAAGTGAGTCTCAACTTGTTGCTCGTCTTGTAATTAATATCCGGCCAATAGTTTCCACCTTGGCCCAACCATTCTTGCATTTGACCAGGTGCAATGACAGCCAAGTAATAGTAGAAACCTAAAACACAGCCAGCTGGGATGGCTATTCTTATTGCCGTGGAAATGGGGTAATTTGCCTTTGTCAGCCGGGCACAGAAAAGTTTCAGGGGAGAACCAGCAGACCTTATCGGGCTTGGGAACAGAGCTTCCAATTTGGGAAATTCCATAGAAAAATTCTACCCACAGATCCAGAAAACTGCTTAAACCTAATAAAACTAGCAGCAAAATAAGCTGTCAGCTACGAAATCTTGTATCCTCCAGCTTTACACCTTCGTATCTATTATATTTCAGCTAGTTTATATGAAAAGGAGCTGAGGGCGAGGATCACTTTCTTCAAGCAGTTTTCGTCGGGTTTTGGCTACTCCTTTAGTTAACTTTCTTAGATTTAAAGAAATATCGAATCTTAATGTTATCGGTCCCAAAGATGACTTCAACTATGTAAATGGACCGCCTTCTTTGAAACTTCTCAACATTTAATGTCTCAAAATGTTCTCAGAATTTTGACATCATGACAGTACCCGGTTTGGTCAGGTTCCAGGAATTTCAAATCCGGTCCATTAAGATACCGTCGACTCTCGATTTAACGATTCTCAAGAGACCGATGTTTGGAATCGTTAAATCGAAGCAAAATCTGGACGTTTAACAACCAAATCGTTATATCGAATCGTTTTGACAAATTATTTAGCAACAATTTATCAGCAAAATCTTTGCTTTAAAGAAAGCAAACTTTAAAGTTGCAAGCTTTGAAGACAATAAAGATATTCAGTGAAAGCAAAGAATATCTGTTGCAATTTTGAGCTGAAACTCGATAAATCGAATGTAAATTTCTAAATAAAGGGCGAATTTTATATCGTTAAATCGAGAGTCGTTAAATCGAACTTCCTAAGCTATTTTATATGAGGCTAGGCCGGGACCGAGCATAGGCAGCGTTAAATCGAACAAATCGTTAACTCGAGAGTCGACTATAAACCCAGTAGTCAACCCTAACTCGACCAAAATCGCCTCTTCACAAAGAAAACAAAGAAAACCATTCAAACCGAATAAAACAGTCGTCACAATCAACGCTGCCAACAATTCCTTGCTTATTCGCTTCCATATTTTCATAAACATAAGGAATACTGTAGCTTTGATTTTTCAAATAAATGAAGTTTATGACCGAATCCACTCAAATGACCAGTTAGCGCGATCTCTTCTCAAAGCTTCTCAGGGTACAAGTATTTTTACTCAAAAAAAGGCTCATCTAGTCATTAATTCCACATTGTTGGTCGTCAAAAGCGTAAAATTGTGGGGCTAAAGTTGAACAACCAGCCCGACAATTAGCTTCTCTTTCACAAAAAAAGTGATTTTTGAGATCTAGCACTGTTTTCGATATTTTTAGAAGTTGCTTTTGGAAATGAAAATAAGATTGTTCAGAACTTTTAGTGTGATTTCAGTGAAAAGAAAGTCGAACGTGAAACTGGAACTGTTTCTGTAGAAGAACAGTTTTATTAAAGTGAGTTCCTGGTTTTCTGACTCTGAAATCTGAAATCCACAAATTTGTATAAATATACACACAAACTCTTCGTTTGTGCAATCAGGATGGACTGTGATGGCCCACACATTGACATTCTCAGTTTTTGAATCTCTTTTCTAGGAAAAGAAAATTTCAACTTTTACCCAAATGTTCAGGAAATGACTGCCTCCTCAGACCTCACCGATCTGAGGAGTCGGTCATTTCCTGAACAGTTATTGGCATCTTAAGATACTATTCGAATGTATTCTTAAGAAGACATTCTTCCAAATACCGGTAAAAGTTTCGGAATTTGGGAATTGGAAGATTCCCGATTCTAGATTCTAGATTCTAGTTTCCAGATTCTAGTTTCCAGATTCTAGTTTCCAGATTCTAGATTCTAAGTTCAAATTGTTGCAAGTCACCGATATGAGTGACTTGGATTTGCAAATTATCGAGACTGAAGCTGAAAACTTGATCGAAGCGTCCAATCAACGAGCGTCCAGATTTTCGGACGGTTTGGATGAAACCGAAACCCAATAAAGGGCTTGTTCAGTCCAAAGATATTTTAGTATTTCAGTATACTTTCTATGGAAATGGCCTCAAATCACAAAGTAGATCATGTTCTTTTTACTACAGAAACTTTTTAAAACGGGAAATGATGTGGGAAATTTGAACACTTTCGCACAAAAGTACAAATTGTTGCAAGTCACGTCAATAGAAAAACGAGAATTTTTAGAAGTTTCGGTTATTTTTGATTGCGATGAGCGATGATGCTCTCAACTCCACTCTTTACTATGAGATTCAAAAAGTCAGCGAATTGCAGAATTTGGTGGAGATTTGTGTGTTGGCAATGGTTGGTTGAATGAATTCTCTAATTGAATATTTTGCAGCTGGGCACAGTTGGCTTATGTTTTGGCTTTATGGGAATCTATGTTGTTGAGACGAATCCTTACTTGAAAGGTTGGACAATAACTGAAATATTTTTCATGTTTCTAGGTCTTGTAAAGCATAATGATTGATCTCGTTAATTCGATCACAATTCTGCTTGGGCATTCGATTTGGGGAATCCCCTGCGCGATTTGGTATGTTAATGCGGTAAAATAGTGCAATGGGAAGGGGTTGTTCAAATTTTCCAGCTCCAGGTCAACTTTTGATCCAAGCCCTGTTCAGGTTCAGACCAGGGCCCGAGTCCAGAATTCACTAGATCTAACAAAATTTACTAGTTTCACCCCAAAATTCGCAATCTTGGGCCAATAACTTCTTTAAAATTAAAAATTTTCGCTAGCTGTTTGTTTTTTTCGAAACTAAATGCAATTCTGTGTTTGCAATTATCAAAAACATTGTGACTGAATAATAGATCGGCCAGAAAAACTGGGTGATCAATGTTTAGGATTATTTTGATTACTGGTCTGTCATCCAGTAAAAATCATTTCAAGAACTCTAGACCTGGGCCCTGGTCCTGCTCCACTAAAAGCCCTTGGACTTGCCGTAGGCTTGGCCGCCTAACCTTAACTCTCAACGAGTCGTTCAGGGATCTCAACGAATCTTTTCCCTTCATCGACTATCTCATCAGCGATCTCGTCTTCACCGCGATTGCCCTAGGATACTTTCCAAAGGTAGCTTTAATATTTTCTTGGATCTGACCTTGATTTAAGTTAGCTAAACTAGACCTAAACTTTCTCAGCATCAGACCAGAAGGGAGATACATTTAAAAAGTGGTCTAAAACGTAAATTGCTCAAATTCGGCTTAAAATTTCAGCTTTTCCTCGGAATGAACCGCTTTTTCGCAATCGCTTTTGATGGTCGATTCTTCAAAAGATTCGAACAACTGAAACTTCTACAGTATTTTCTCATGATCGTTTATCCATTTGTTTGCTTTGTTTTGCTATTGCTTCGTAAGTTTTCTTTTAAAGGGAAGCTTTAAGTTTTCTTAGCCGGTTGTTATGCTGTTTACATTCCTTATGGACAGAATTTGTTCTACAGTGAGAGCGAGTGCGGAGATTCGATGATCAACTACACTGGGGTCATTTTTTTGAAACTCTAGCGTTAGTCAAGGGACGAAATCGAAAAGCATTTAAAGTCGATTTCCACCTTGAGTGTCTCGGCTTAGTACCTTACTATTAGTTTAGAGGGCTGTAAAATTTGTAACAAAAATACAGCAAAAATTCAGCCACTAACAAAAGAAAGGCGCGGAGTCAAGCTGGCCTTTTGACTCGAGACCAAATCCATCTTATAAAGTCGGCCATGTGGATCTCAAATCCGTTTTTAGTTTTTCGCAAACGCGAGATATTTGGCATGGAGAATCATCATGACTTTGGAGCTCCTTACGAGACCGTCACACGGTTGCCTCACAAATGATTCGGTGGCCTAGTGGATAGGCTGCTAGACTAAAAAACTAAAACGAATTCGGGATCTTCATGGCCAAATCTATAGGATGAACTTGGTACCGAGTCAAGGGGCCAGCTTAACTCGGTGCCTTTCCCTTTTAAGCCAAAAATTGATCCCAAGAAAAGACGGGAATTGATCTTTTTGGCAAAGCCTAGGAGAGCGGAGGATGGCTCGGTCACTGACCGCTCCTTCCCATTTACGGATCTCAAAAGGGAAGCTCCTTATACCAACGGGTATGCCCGATGGAGAGTGATTGCGAGCGCGCACAAGAAACACATCGCCAGTCGTTTGCATAGGGATCTCTCTTTTGCTTTGTAGATGGCATAAAAAGAAGATACTGAGCTGTAAATTTAGGTTGATGCAAAAGTCTTTTTCATTTTTTTCGTACTTCTTTTGAAAAATAACAAAGTCATCAATTAACCTATGGTTTGCTCTAAATGAAAAGTGTTTATTGTTCAATTTCCCATCTTTTTAAGTCAATTTGGGTTCACTTTCAAGCAAATTCGAGAGTGAAAACGGGTTTTTCATAAAAATCTATAAAAACCTCTATAAAGAAATTGGCTGAATCAATTTCTCTGAAAATCTGAAAAATTATCTAACTTTTTGTGCTCTATCTTTTATTTATTAACATCAAGATTGGTTTCCTTAGCTAAAGCGTCTAAAATGCATCATCGAGCCGTCGCCTTTTTTGACTACCCGACTTCAGGCTCTCAAAAAAATCTAGACATAAGACATTTTAAACTCGTTTTAATGTCATTTTGCAGAAAAATAATTGGCCTTTCGAATGCAATAAACCGTTGTTCAATTGGTGCATTTGTTACTTTTTAACGGAAGTACGAAAAAAATGAAAAAGACTTTTGCATCAACCTAATAGAAAAATTATATTTTAGAATGTTGAAGGTGTCTTCTTCACGCCCGTCAGCAGTTTCTTTGATCTGTTGGTGTTGATTCTCTTGCATCGACGTTTCCGGGCTTTTCACAAAGAACAACATCAGCAGAGCTCGCAAAAGGCTCGCGATTTACGAAGAGAATATAGACTAGCGGCACAGGTGTCTTTGTGTTTTTCACTTAGCTAAAACGTTTCTAAAGCGTGGTAACTCTCAAAAGTACGGTAAAGTCGTCTTTAGTTTTTAGAATCTGTTTGCTTTTGACTTGATTTGTGAGGATTTAGCGAAAGATATAAAAGTAGACAAATTCGATAGTCGAGTTCGATAGATTTTTAAGATCAACTTAACAGCATTACCAAATTGCTTATTGAATTAGTCAACAGCATAATTAAATTACTTATTAAAATAATTACATAACTATTGTAGATGGCCACAAATCTATTCAACGGAATTACCTTGTCAATAACTTCTGTCACTTTCAAGACCACGTTCACCACACCTTTATCGGTTTTCATCATTGTCACTGCACTCTGGCTACTTACTTGTTTATTATCGTGGTAAGCTATTTTGAAGAAAACAAACATTTGCTTAAAAATTGGATCTTAGAAAATCAAAAAATCTAACTGTCTATCAAAATCCGAAAAGAAAATTTATTTTTAGTATGGCTTATGCTTTGTTTCTCGGCGAAAAACAGGCAAAAGTGGAAACAAGAAAAGTCTCGACGCTTTCTTTGGGAATCAGTAAAACTTGAAATGTTATTAATGACAATAAAGCTTATGATAACACTGGTAAAAGAAAATGAGCATATAAAAATGTCTCAAGTTGGGTAATTATTGGCTTCAAATTATTAGCATTTTTATGCAAAAGTTCAAAAAAGTAAAGAAATTGACTTTGGTCGGAGTCGAACTCAGGCAAAAGAACTGGAGCAGTCTCGTATGCCTCCTCCCTATCCACTACACCATTCGACCATGATTTGAGAGACGGAGAGAGCCTTTCTTCTCTCCGCACCAAATTTAACAAATTTTCCTGGTTTTTCTAATTATGAATCAAAATTTATATTGAAAATTACAAACATTATCAGATCTGAAGCTTTGCAGCGGAACTTTTCAAAACACTCTGTTCTGAACCGCTTCTAACAGCTGACAAAATTTGGGCCCGATCCGAGGTGGTAAGTAGTTATGGTTCGCTCGTATAACTCTAAAACCAGTCAGTTCATCGACTTTTTAGTGTTTTTAGTGTTGGTTAATAATTTTAGTTTACATATTATAACTATAATATGACACCACGATGGCAGTAAAGAGTCTCCATTTTTGTGGTAAAATTTTCCCCTATTGATCGTCTCATGGTGGTGACCATAGTGGCACCCATAATCACAGGATATCCCTATCGAGTGATGGTTTTCCTGAGGAAATAAAAAATTTTTTAGAAGACAAATCATTCACCACACCACACTAGCCACCAGAAATTCTCAAAAATTCGGGTTTGAAAACGTTTTTTTTTATTGGACACCCTGTGCACTAGTTCTCGAATTTTCTGATCATTCTTGGGATTTTTCGGTAAGCGACATTGTTGATAAAGGAATTGTGGGCTCGAGCGTCGATTTTTATTCGAAAACGAATATAGAATGAGTTTCAATTCGTGTAGATTCTTACAATTCGCTGATCACAGTTCATTTTGTACTTTTGCTCACCTCCTGAAGGAAATTTAAACAACCTTTGATCGTATTTTTCTATTTCTAGGAAATCGTGCAAAAAGTCTTTCGTTTTAACGGAAAATTGTCACCTTTGAGTCACTAATTTTGTGTTTGATCTTACCCATGTATTCTTGTGTGTTAAACTTTCCGTTTCAACGATCTAATTACACGAAATTATTCCCTCAGGAGCGGTAATTTGTAGAAAATTTCTGGGAAACGCGTGTTTGGATTTTGATTTTGTTACACTAGGGATTGGACTTTAAAAAAATCAATCTTTTTATTGCCTTTATTAGATGCTCTTGAAGATTGGCGGATCAGTAATGCCTGGAATTATTGATCTCGCTGCACGGGAAGCGAGACGGCAACTCTCGAGAGCTGAATTCATCAAAGAATCCTCGATTATCGTCATTGCATTTCTTTTGATAAATGGTATTTCTTGTTTTCGTGAGCCTTTTTACAGTTAAACTTCCCTTGCTCAGTTTTGAGATCGTGATACATTCGATCTGTTCACCGGTGCCTAGTTGTGTTGAGTGTCTAAGATGACCTATTCATGATCTATTCAAGATTGTGAATCGTTTCGTTTATAGCTAATTAGTTAATAGTTAATAACAATTAGTGCAAATTCTGAAAAAGTTGCAGTCAAGACTTGCAACTTCTTTCACAATCTCGCAGTTGTTTGAAGAAACCCGACTCAAACTGTTTCTTTGGATCGGTTACCGTTTCCGATGAGCTAGTTTGCCAGAACTCATTTTCATTCTTTTCCTTTTGGTTTAATTGACCGTGCTTGTCTGGGCCAACCTTGAGTAGAATAAATTAGAATCTAAAAGTTATTAGGTTGATACAATATGGCTTGCCGTTTTTAGAATATTGCAAATTTTATCCAGAAATTATCCAGGAGTGTTATATACTATTCGAAAGCTGTAACTCTCCTCTACAAAATAGAGTAACAAGTATTTCAATTCATAGGGTCTTTAGAGAAACTTTGAGTGAAAAGAGCAGTATCCTGAAAAACTGAAAGTGCCGCTTTGCCGGATTTTCTAGGCCTTCATAATTGAGCTTACTTCCTAGAATTTTAACAAAAACTAGAGCAAGATAGATGGTTCAAAAATAGTCGTGCTGGAATTCAATTTCTGGAATAGAATGTGCTAGAATTCTTTATTTCTATATGTGTTTTTCTTGTTTCTCAAAAAAATCGTGTTTTTAACAGTTTTGAGATACTTCGACTTCCAACTTTTGTAAGTTTTTATAAATTCATTTTTGTAAAATAAATTTAAATTATTTTTATTAGCTTAAATTGCTCTAGTTTTTGCTAAAATCCTGGAAACTAAGCTCAATTATGAAGGCCTAGAAAATCCGGTAAACCGACGCTTTCAGTTTTTCAGGGTACTGCTCTTTTCACTCAAAGTTCCTCTAAATACCCTATGAATTGGAATAATTAATACTTTTGTAGAGGAGAATTACAGCTTTCAAATAGTATATAACACTCCTGGATACCATGTCCCTACTCTTGAAAATTTGCAATATTCCAAAAACGGCAATCCATATTACATCAACCTAATAGAAATTCCAACTTGTTCCTAATTTCCAGGCTTACTGGCACTTATCTATTTTCTGCTCCCAAATCCGTATGAAATGTTTGTATCAATATCGCGCGCTAATCGTTTTCCCGATCTCCATCACACCTTCACCTGTATCCAGTTTACAGTAGGTGAACGTGAGTGTGAAACTTTGAACGGATTTCAAAATTTAGTGCTCAATGGTGTCGATTTTCGTCAATATGATGAGTGCTTGGTTTTGTTGGAAAACGGGGCTGCTCCCGAGAACGGTTTCCTTTTTGTTGATTGCCGATTCTGTGGCTCGATCGCTTGCTTCAATTCTTCTCGTCATGGCTTTCTATTGTGCTATGTCTGAGTTGTGAGTTACGGAAAAGGATATAAAAGCTGAAATTTGAAACTTCCCCATTTAGCAGTTTTCTTTAAAATTTACAAGCAGATATGTTTCTAAAAGGATTAGTTTAGAAGCCTGGGCTCTAGCCTAGCCTTAACTGATTTGCCCTGACTTGGTTTTAAGGCCAAGTTCAAGTCTGACTGGGTCTAGAAATTTGCATGAAGTTTGGGCTTGGCTTCTGATCTATTAAGATGACAGATTACACTTATCTAGATTACCGAACTAGCTGAATTACCAATCATTATTTGCCTCACTTTAGCCTCCCGACATTCTCGTGTGCTACTGGCCCAATATCTCTTCTATACAAATATGGTCAACATATCCTTGGACCGTTCATTTACATTTCGGGATATCTGCAAATCGGTCAGTTTTCTTGATTGATCAAATTCTTGATGAAATTCTAATCACATTGTTCAATGCATATTCACTTCACCTCGGTTTCACTTTACAGCCAGTGGACAAGATTTGGAATGAAGTTTAAATCCCAGACTTGAGAGAAAGTTTGATTCTTGTTGTGATTTTAGAAAGATAAAACATTAGAGCCTTTTATAAACTTTGGCTTCGGAGTTAAACTTCATCCCGATATCTTGTAGATTATCTGTGTAAAATAAAATCTAGACCAAGTGCTCAATTCCCCGACTTTTCCAGCTCTATCCCTGAATCGTTTCTTTGCCCTTTCATATCGTGGCTATTACTATCATCGCGTCCAAAAATTTCACTGGCTTCAAGTTGGCGTTCCTTTTGTGCTCGGAGTCGTCTCGTGGGTGTGGATCGATCCAAATTGTTTGTGCTTTTCGAATTTTCAGCCAACAAAAAGGTTTTAGTCAGTGTGCGAATTCTTTTGGTTTCGGCGACGATTTCTTTGGATTTCATGTTGCTTTACAAAATGACCGTGAGTTGAAATGCGGGTCCTTTAACTCTCCGGGTCAATAAGCTATGTCAAAAATTACTTCATGTCTTGTTTGAGCTGGTTTGAATGCAGGTTTGGCCTACAAAAAGTAACTGGGCCAACCAGAAGCCAGTTCTGAACATGGATTTCGCAGTCTGAACCTGAAGCTGGCTAGGTTCTGGTTGGGACAAGTCTAGCAATGAAGATAGCAATTTGAAGATTTGATAAGGTTTCAAGTATTTTCCATGTGTAATTCAACCAGTCGCTAAAATCAACAAAGTTAAGTTATGGTCTGTATCTTTTGATCCAATTTGACCGGTTCGAATTATACTTATAAGAATACTTGAAGAAAATATCAGAGCTAAAGAACCATGGCCCTTGTCAGTTGAAGGATCAGCTCTGGGAAAGGCTGTCTAGCTGTTATTTGTAGAATTTCCGAGTTCAGAGAACGAAAAAGGATGTGGACTATGCGAGTGGACGGTTTCTTCTTGCACAGGTGACGTTTTTGAGCAAAATCTGTGAACTGTAGTTACAGATTCTCGCGAACAACGTCCCTTTCACATTTGGCTATGTTGTTTGTCCGTTTATCTGGTTGGCGACAATGGATGGATGGCCTTTGTTTTGCGTTTTCATTTTCTACTTCTCAAATCTGCTTGTTTACTCGGGATGTCAGTTGTATCAGGGGTAAGTGTCGTAGTTGATTTAGTTTCAATTAAATTAAATCAAAAACTTTTATTCATCTAGTTTTATCTAGTTTTCTTTAGTATTGTGACGATCTATTTACTGCGTAAAGATGGACAAAAGATCGAGAATCGCTTCAAATAAAGTCCCTAATGAATAACAGCCTTATCATTTTTTAAAGCCTTATTGTTATTGGATAAGTGTCATTTACTTTATATATCTTTTTAAACTTTTTACTTTGTTACTTCATTTGTTTAGCACCAAAATCAGATAAACTTTCAATCAGATTTGTATAAAAACATATTACATTTCATTTTTATTCAATTTTTGCATGTAAAGCGGTTCCTTTTGGCTTCCAAATCATGATTTTCAATGAAAGTACGGTTTCTCATGTTTTTGCTTTCATGCATTTTTGCTAAAAATAACGGTGAGTAGCAAGATTTTCTCAAAAAACAATAATTTTGATCGTCACTACTTTATCGCCGAGGGATTTCAGCCAAACCATTTTTGTTTTCTTATTTATGGCCAACATTGTTAAAGAAACTGTTAAATGGTGCGTTGAAAAGAGATAAAAAGAAAGTTTTTACTTGAAATCTAACTTCTTTAGTACTTTGAAAAACTGTGGTGGATCAATCATTGTCCCTAGATGGGTACTAACAGCAGAACACCGCCTATACCAACGTTCGCACAAAACGAGAAAACTCAAGTGGATAAAAGCTCTGTTGTAGGCACTTTAAAGCGTCTCTCAATCACCGTAACCCGTCGCTCATAATCAATTTTTCAGTAAGATATTAGGTACTTGCAAAAGAAACTGCGGATGACTTCCGAGGACCAAAGTTGTTTTTATTTGAAAGTGTGATGGTGCGGCTCAAATTGTATTCTATTGTATCATTATCGCTTATTTATTTTTATTATTTTTACCACTATTGTCATCATTGAATATTAAATAATTCTAGGTACAAAATGACGAATCAAAAAATCGCGTTTTGGGCGTGTCTTCTCTATGACGTGTCTTCTCTTCTTCAAAATGAAAAAATCAGCATCGGAGTCGCACCGGAATCTTTGTGAAGCATTCGGAGAAAAGATTTTGAGTGAAAGGACTTGCCAGGAATAGTTTCGACGCTTTCGTGAAGGGGATGAGAGCTTGAAAGATGAGCCTCTGGATATTGTCCAGTTGTCCACAATTTTTATCTGACTAAGTCAACGTACATCTTCCAATTAAGGTTTTTGTTTACCACAATAATCAAATAAAATAAATCTATCTTTAATTTAAAAAAGGATTACTTCCACAATTAACTTTCATGTTATCCAATCGTTTTTTTCGAGTCAAGAAAGGATTGCCTAAAAATTTCAAAACATTTTATCGTCTAATTCAAGTTGTTTTCCAGCCACACAAGCCAAAAATCAAATTAAAATTATCGGTTAATCGTAAACATTTAATTGAATTAGATGTTTGCCGTGTAGCAGAATGTGCTTTAATGAGTTTTGATCAACAAAGTTCGATACCACTTATTTTCGTAAGCTTATTTCAGTTTTGTGTAGTTGGTAAATCCCAAAAACTGTCCTCGTAAATTAAAATTTTGGCTGTATCTACATTAAGTTCTTTCTTGTCTCAAATGCACTTGGGTGGACATTTCAACTTTTGCGTCCTTGGTTTTGATTTTTTTACGCCTTCAAACAGATTCCAAAAAACAGAGAGCAAACGTGGAAAATCGTCAAAAAAAAACGTCAACCAGCCGGAAAGCGCAGTTATTTTCCGTAGTACCTAATACTATTGATTTTGTTTGAAACTTTGAAATTTTCAAATAAAATTCTTCATCATGAACTGCAAGCAAATTCAATGAGGCAAAATTAAATTGAAGTCGATGAATTTGAGCAGTTTCATCAAAAAATGATTAAGCCGGCTCCTATTTGGACACGGTTCGCACGTGTCAGGCGTTGAATGCAATTCCGGTGAAAATTCAAAATATCTTCGAGAACTCTTTCGTTTACGCGATTATTGAAGGTTGGTGGATTGTTTTGTTGTATGCAAGCGAGTCCAAAGGATGCAAAACCTGAATTCGCTTTAAGGAAGGATTAATGATAAAAAAAAGCTGCCATAAGATGAGAACACTTTGGGAAAAATTGCAATAATTTTGCGTATTTCAGAACTGAACGGTCTCACTCCGTATATCGGAGTCGAGAAAAAGGTTGATGGCACGTGGGTTTATTCGGACGGATCACCGCTCATTTACTCGAATTGGGACAAAGGTTAATGCAGATAAATTTTCACAGCGCTGATCGCTAGGTTTCAAACAATCAATCGAATGTTTTACAGAAATGCTCATTTGGGTGATGCTAACAAGAATGTTTTAATATTGTTAAATATTAGATGAGAAGCCCCAATTAAACCAAAATCTAATCCTTGTTAAGTCACGTCAAAACTTGTTAATTCAAAAAAACAGTTCGAGCATTCTCTACAGGGTAACCGCAAATTGTAGCGACAGCTTTTTGGAAAAGTAACTGGGAAATGTCTAATTTATTTCAAAAGTGGCAAGTCTTCTGTAGAGAATTGTAGCCCTAATTATTGGCTACATTTATCTGCCAAAAATTCCTGATTGGACTTATACAACTCATTCAACAAGCATGGCAGGGTCGCCGGAGATATTCTGAATAACGTTTATTGAATCGCTTGTTAAATGAGTTGTATAAGTCGAATCGGGAAGTTTTTGGTAGATAAATGTTGCCGAGAATTAGGGCTAGAGTCCTCTATATAAAACTTGCCACTTTCGAAATAAATTAGACACTTCCGAGCCACCTTCCCAAAAAGTTGTCGCTATACTTTGCGGTCACCGTGTATATCGAATTTTAGGCCAACCAAAAAACAGTACAAAGCTCCATTGTGTGACCCTGGACTTGGCCTCGGGAAAATGGATTGCCGACGATTGTTCGCTGGCTCGGCCCTCAGCTTGCTAATCTATTGGCGGAAACGGTTGGTGTTGAAGAAATGGTTTTTGGCTGATAATGGGTCAGAACTGAAGTTTCACTCGATTCGGGATTCCACGGTTAAGCTTTGTTTTTATCAATGAAGTTTTTATAAATCTACTAATGTCGGAAAATAATATGCTTCATGCTTTTTACAGACACAACATCAACCCCACGCCCATCACCCACCCCATCCCCGTCCAGCGGGCCGTGTCTGGAGAATTGGTTTTACAATCCCACAACTAGTTATTGCTACTTTTTACAGGCTAGTCTAAGTTTTCCACAAACATAGTCTCATTTAGAATTTCACTTACCCGGATGAAGTTCATTGGGCGCTTTATGATTTCCCAACAGCCGAGAATTTGTGTCAACAAATGGGCTCCCACTTGGTGTCAATTCATTCGGACACCGAGAACCATTTCCTTTTAAGTTTGTCAAAGGGAATAGGAGTCCTCAGCTAGTGTTTGTTGGAGATACATATATGAAATTGCGAAAAAATTCAATAAAATACATTTTCAGATCTGGTCTATTCGAATACGGCCAATCAAAGAGCAGCTGTACCTACCGATCACGGGCCATGCTGGTACCAATGGGCGTGGATTGGCTATTCTGGCATTGGGGATATTGGGACGGGAGATTGGACAGATGGATCACCGGTTGATTACCTTCAAACAGCACCACAAGATAGAGTGTTTTATTTCCAGGTGAAATAGTGTGAATATCTCGAGATATGCTTATAACAGATCTCTAATGATACATCGTGCGGGTGATGGGCCGGTGACAATCGCTATACGCAAGCTGCTCGTTTCGTCTGCAAAAAGCCTTCGAGAGGTTGAACAATTCTGGGGAAAAACAGATTGTGAATCAATAAAGATAGCTTTTTTCTGCTTTTGGTGTGAAAATGGGCAATCGACAAGATCTGTTAGATGACTGCAAACCACTCTATTTTGGAAACTACATGAAAACATTTGGGATTCAAAGCAAACATCAAACTTGTTCTAATGCAACTTGTTCCCTTGTTAGCTGTCTTAGGCGGGCAACGATTGCATTGGGCTGAGGAGCTACACAGAAATTAAAGACACGTCTTAGAATTTGAAATTCGTGGCTTCGAAGTTCGACTGTAATTTGATTGAAAAAATAAATTAATCAAATCGAATTATGAATAACAAACCAGTTCGCAAAGCGCTTGCTTGCGTGGAATCCATTCATGAATCCATTTCACGAATCTTCAATTAAATTTGAGCTTTAAAACTGCGTTCTCTCTAGCGAAAGAACTCAAAAATATATCATTGATCTCGGTCCAAAACTAGGTGTTAATTTGCAAGCGACTTTTTTGCGTCTTTTGTCTTATTTTTACGCCTCCAAACAGAATACAAAGATCGAGAGCAAACATGGAAAACCACCGGAAAATACATTGTTGAAATCAAGTTGCTTTCTTTGAGTCGACTTTTCCGACAATGATTCGACGCTATTCGGCAAAAAATGAAACCTATCTTAATTTTTTGTTTCTTTTTGTTATTCACGAGCTTTTCAATGCCCGGATAGATGGCAACAAATGTTTGTTTGTATCCGGTGGCTGAACGTGAGTATCAAAGTTTTTAAAAACGATGAACTTTCACTATAAGAGAACGCAAGAGATCATGAAGAAGTTTCAGATGATCGTAGGATGGAATATGTTTGCTTTTTGATTTTTTTTTTCAAATGCTGATGCAACGACGATCAGAAAAAGACTCGCGACGCTTGGTTTGGATTTTGTGAAACAGCCAAACTCAAAAATATCGAATTATCGGTGCAAACTTCTCAATTGATTAGAGCATGAAATTAAATGATTATAGTTCAAATGGCTTTTTTGGGAAAGGACTTTTGTTACAGCCGTTTATAAAGCTTTTGTGCTTTAGTAGCGCACCCCCAAAACAGCCAATCCCCACAAAAATGTTTGGAAAATGTAAAAATTTTAATTGTTTTAATTGTTCTTTTATACTCTAGCTTTCCTAAATGCAAATTTCCCTTTTCAAATGTAAATTTTCCCATTCTCCGCGACAACCCGTCCGTCTATAGGAGTATCGTGTAGGCGAAAATTTGGGGGGGAGGGGGTAGTCAAAACAGCGCCATAATAGAAAACGTTCAAAACAGCGCCGTCAAATTTCTCACAATTCAAAAAACCAAGCCGGTTCAAGTTTTATATCAAAAAATTCCTTGCGTTCTTGGCTACATGATGGGTGAAACAGTTTTTTAAAAAAGTTAATATTTCATAGATAAAGAGAGCACTCAAAATGGGTCTCTAAAGATATTCAGTTAACCAACTGAGTATCAGTCGACACACATTTTAAGTGCTCTTTTTATCTACGAAATATTTTGATATAAAACTTGAACCGGCTTGGTTTTTTGGATTGTGAGAAATTTGACGGCGCTGTTTTGACTACCCCCCGAAAATTTTCATTTACTTTCGTTGGTTAGTCTTAAAACGTGTATTTTTCTACTGGTTAAGTGGCATAAATTTTTTTTGTTTTTAAATCGAAATGAAATTAAAGTGCAGGCGATCGCCGAGCAGGGAGCCGTCATTTGAGAGCCTGCGGTGAGGCTAAAGACAATAACCGTTGAAGTGAAAAGAAAAACTTTTGGCAAAATAAAGCTGAAGTCCAACTCTTTTTCTCGTTTACAAGTTACTATAGCTTTATGAAAAGATTTAACAAATGACATGTAAATTTTTATTGTAATTAAGCATTTTTCGGTGCACTAAACCTGGATATGCACCCTATGATCTACACGAAATCCCGATTCAGCCGACTACTATTGTTGTCACAAAATTTGAAAAGTTTTATCCGTGCTGAATAAATGAAATAATGAAAAATCGGAAATCGTTATTTCTTAATCACCAGCGTGAGGCACAGGCCAGAAGACAACGAACGGTGCTAGAGGAAAAACCTTGGCTCTCGATATAAGAGCGGGTTAACGCAGACGATCCGCTTGAGGGAACCGGGGCCGAGCAGGCTAAAAGAACTGATTACATGAGACTTTGACACAAAAAATATAGTAAACTGCTAACAAGGGGAATGTTCTCAGCACAAAGTTCGGAATCGACTGGAAACACAGTGCATAACATAGAATCGGCAATGGCCACGGCAATGGCCACTAGGCCACGGAGCTCATCTCTGGCCGACAGCGAGAGAAACCTTATAAAGGAATCAGTTTTAACTCCCGATTTTGCATGCCAGATTCCTCACGTTTCCGCGGTTAATTTTGGTGGCGTTTTGTTAGCCATTGCCGATTCTATGTTATGGAGTGTTTCCAGTCGATTCCAAACTTTGAGCTGAGACGATTCACTTGTGAGAAGTGCTGTTGTCCAGCTATCGAGTGCCAGAATAACTTGACATTCACAAAGAGACGTGCGTTTTTAGAATGCTTATTTAGAAATGTATTTGAATTGTTTCCGAGAAACTATTAGCTATCATACCAACGATATACAGCCAATACTCGACGATGCCTCCAATTGCGCCATCGATTAGAAAAAATAAGAGCAGAATCGTCAATAAGGTCCTTGAGTTTGTCATTTTGAGCAGATAAAGCAGGCATAAAATTCAAGGGAATTAAAGGTTTTGATACTGGGTCTAAAAAGCTTGTGTCATGAAAAACCTCTTTTGCTCAGTTAAATTGAACGAAAAAAACGTTGCGCAAACCGCACGTACCATCCGCGAGATTTTCTCTTTCTTTTTCATTTGAAAATGATTGTGAAAGGAATTTGAAGGAAATCGGAGCTATGGGAAAGCAATAGAATGGGGCGTTGCTCAATAAAATATGATTGAAAATGATTGTGAAAGGAATTTGAAGGAAACGGGAGCTATGGGAAAGCAATAGAATGGGGCATTGCTCAATAAAATTTTTAGTTCCTTTTCCCCAACCGTATACTTGACTTTCTCTTGATCGGATAGAATGCAAAACTGAGAGAAACTTAAACTGAGAAAGTTTAAAAGATGTTCCTCGTCGAATCTCGTCAGTGGTCTTCTAATCCTATGTTCGGCCTTTTTGGAGTCACTAAAAGCAAAATTACATCTTCAGAACCTCTTTAGTAACCTAACCCCAAGAATGATCGGGTTTTTATGGCGCCTTTTATAGGTCACTAACGAGCCCGGCTTTATTTCCATTCCATTCAACTAAAGAAAGCGACTCAGCCCGTTGTTATTCATTAAATTAGTCCGTAAAAGGCTGATCAACTATTTTTTGATTTCTGTTTAACCCGTTTTTCCTGAGCTGACATTGTGATCCCAATTTTTACGTCGCAATAAAATACTTCTTTCCCTTCAAAAAACAAAAATTAACATTAACAAAATTTAATCTCTAGATTGCTTTCAACAAGATTCAACGAGGAGCATCTTTTAAACTTCCAATACAGGGTGACCAGAAAATACGGCGAATTTTTTCTCGACCTTTTGATATCAAGTTTTTCTTTGGTTTTTGTGATGTTTCTTTTCTATAATGCTTGTTTACGTTGTTCTGATTAATAATCTTTGAATTTTAGGGTCTTTCTACGCCATGAATTCAAAAGAAGATCGTGAGAAAGCGCGAATAACAATCGTCGAGTTGCACAAGAATGGCAAGAAGCCTCAAAAAATCATGAAAGCTACTGGATACAAGAAGGACATGGTCTACAAGGCTTTGAAACGTTACAGAGAGACCGGTGGAATTACAGATCGAAAGGGTAGAGGTCGTCCGGCAACAGTAACTACGCCACAAAACTTTAACAAGCTGCGATGCCGGATTCGGCGCAATCCCGAAAAATCGATGCGAGACATGGCAAAAAAGTTGAATCTTGGTCGGGAAAGTGTTCGATTGATGATCTGCAAGAAGCTTAAACTTGTTCCATACAAAATTGCCCGGGCACACTTCTTGGACGATCCTATGAAAGCAAAGAGACTACAGCGAGCGCGAGTGTAGTTTCTCTCACTGTTTTTTGGTTGGCCTAAAATTCGATATACACGGTGACCGCAAAGTATAGCGACAACTTTTGGGAAAATAGCTCGGAAGAGTCTAATTGATTTTAAAAGTGGCAAGTGTTATATAGAGAATTGTAGCCCTAATTCTCGGCAACATTTATCTACCAAAGACTTCCCGATTGGACTTATACAACTCATTTAACAAGCGATTGAATAAATGCTGGTCGACATCTCTCCGATGAATCAGCCATGCTTGTTAAATGAGGTGTATTAGTCCAATCGGGAAGTTATTTTATGGTAGATAAATGTAGGCAATAATTAGGGCTACAATTCGCTACATAAGACTTGCCACTTTTGAAATAAATTAGACATTTTTCAGCTACTTTTCCAAAAAATTCTGATTACGGTAAGAAAGAATGTAGGACATTGTTTAAAAAACAAACTTGTTAGATGCAAGAAAGGAAAAAAAATGATATAGAGAAATGCAACTTAGAATTATTTTTCCAAAAAGTATCGTTATATAGAAAATCGTTAGAAGTATAGAAAAGTATACAAGCTTGTTTGTTAACATTTTACCATCCTTAAAAACGAGTTGAAACTAAAAATAATCGTCACTAGTGAATGTGTTAAAACCATTTTTCCTCAAAAAACAATAATTTAAAACAATAATCGTCACTACTTTATCGCCGATGGATTTCAGCCAAACCAACGAGTTTTCTTATTTATGGCTAACATTGTTAAAGAAACTGGTAAATGGTGCGTTGAAAAGAGATAAAAAGAAAGTTTCTACTTGAAATCTAACTTTTTTAGTACTTTGAAAAACTGTGGTGGCGGTCAATCGTTGTCCCTAGATGGGTACTAACAGCAGAACACCGCCTGTACGAACTTGCGCACAAAACGAGAAAACTCAAGTGGATAAAAGCTCTGTTGTCGGCACTTTAAAGCGTCTCTCAATCACCGTAACCCGTCGCTCATAATAAATTTGTCGGTAAGATATTAGGTACTTGCAAAAGAAACTGCGGATTACTTCCGAGGACGAAAGTTTTTTATTTGAAAGTGTGATGGTGCGGTTTAAATTGTATTCTATTGTATCATTATCGCTTATTTATTTTTATTATTTTTACCACTATTGTTATCATTGAATATTAAATAATTCTAGGTACAAAATGACGAATCAAAAAATCGTGTTTCCGGCCTGTCTTCTCTATGACGTGTCTTCTCTTCTTCAGAATGAAAAAATCAGCATCGGAGTCGCACCGGAATCTTCGTGAAGCATTCGGAGAAAACATTTTGAGTGAAAGGACTTGCCAGGAATAGTGTCGACGTTTTCGTGAAGGGGATGAGAGCTTGAAAGATGAGCCTCTGGATATTGTCCAGTTGTCCACAATTTTTATCTGACTAAGTCAACGTACATACCACCTATTTTGTGAGCTTATTTCAGTTTTGTGCAGCTGGTGAATCTCAAAAGCTGTGCTCGTAAACCAAAATTTTGTCTGTTTCTATATTAAGTTCTTTCTTGTCTCAAATGGACTTCGGTGGACATTTCAAATTTTTGCGTCGTTGGTTTTCATTTTTTTACCCCAAAAAAGAGAGAGCAAACGTGGAAAATCACCGGAAAACACATTGCTGCAATCAATTTTCTTTCTTTGAGTCGACTTTTCCGATAAGGACTTCAATTCATTTGTCGAAAAATGAAGTCACTCGCAATTTTTTGTTTCTTTTTACTATTCAGGCTAAAGCTTTTCAATGCCCGGATGGATGGCAACAAATGCCCGGCGAGAGTCTTTGTTTGTATCCGGTGATTGCACGTGAGTGAAACGTTATATAGATATTATTTATTAGGTACCACGGAAAATAACTGCGTTTTTCATACTCAGCTTCAATCATTGAAATTTTTTTTGCATTTAAAACACTAACTAATCAAAATAACATCCATTGCAATCAATGCACTTTTGCCAGCAGAAGGCAAGTTTTTCGATTCCATCTTTGTAGAAGTCAGAATCAGTTGATCAAAGCGGCAATGGCATCCAGCGCATCTTTGAATATTTGACCTCTGAGAAAAGAAATCAAGGGGCTTAAATATGTGATAATCAGTTGGCGATAGGTCTGGTGAATAGGCTGGATGAGGTAGGAATTCGATGCTTAAATCATTGAGTGCCCTGAGTGACGTACGGACACGCATTGTCCTGCAGCAGGATAGGGCCTTTTCGATTGACCAACGCGCGGTTCAAAAACTGCAACTTTGAGTGCATCTCCATAATTGTTGCACGTAGACCTCCGAATCGATGCTTTGGGGGCTTTTCAGCAACGAATAGTGTATCACTCCTTTCTTATACCACCAAATCGATAACATGACCT